AGAGCCATCATCCCCTGTAGTTCCGGATGTCTTGGAAGAAGATGCGGGCTCGCGCTCGCCTTCTCCAGCTCGGTCCCATGATGGCTCTGTCCACTCGGCCCACTCCGAGGCCTCTTTGATGTCCCATGCCTCCCTTGACTTTGCAGCTTCCGTTGCACATCCTGGTTGTCGTTGGCCAGAGGATCTGGTGCAGGAAAACCTAGCCTACCATCTTCAGCCAATTCTTTCAACTCCGACTCTGAGCGTCTGATGCTGCTCCAGCGCCACCAATATCTGCCCAGATGAATTTGTAGTCCGCATCTACAAGCGCCATCAGAACAATGGAGTAGAATCCTTTGTAGTTGTAGTACATGGACCCACTATTTCGAGGACACCGGCATGCAATGTACCTTCCATGCAGGGCTCCAAGTATATGGGGTAGGTTCCAGTTTTTCCAGACCTTCTCAGCAATGGAACCCGCCATCCCTCAGGAATGGTTGGACAGATCATCACCTGGCAAACTTCTCTGACGACGATTGAAATGGTGGTGTGGGGGACCCTCCAACCGAACTTCATCGAGGCATACGTGGTTCCAGAGGCAAGGTGACGCAAAGTCAAGGCAAGCTTCCGGCCAGGCTCCAGCAGCTCCCTGTAGGCAGTGTGTTCCTTGGTGATCCTTGGACCCACTCTGGAACTCGGAACATCTCAGGGGGCATCCGCATGAAGTTTTAGAAGGAGGCCTGGTCCTCGTTCCCAAGTTCCACCAGAAGCTGGTCGTACAAGCCAAACTGCCGTCGCCTCCCAGTCTGCGAAGATTTTAATACCTAACTACATCTGATAGTTCTAGGTTTCGTTCGGATCACGTTTTAATACAGTTCTTATCAACCATAGACATCAACGGTCATTTTAGATTGTTTGTAAATGAAGATAAATCCTTCAAGTTTGTTCCAAAAAAATTGTCTGTCACAAAATTATTCCATAAATTTTCATGCTTAAAACGAGTAATCGAGTTCCACGAGTCCACACAGAAGTTTTCAGAAGTGACAGGTCAGATTTTGGCAGGATATTTCTCTTTCACGTCATGCAATTTTTCAGTTTTCATAAAATTCCGTGGGTGATTTTTTAAAGAAATCAATATACCAAACTAATTTTTAAAACTCTTGACTTTTACACGTTAATTATTCTTTTTGAGGGGCCCTGAAGCACGCCACCAGGGGTCATCTTTCAGGCCCTAAACACGTTTTACATGTATGCATATTGTTGTTTATGAGACAATATAAAAGAAAAAACATACAAACTAGTGAACATGCCCGCGGGCTAGTTAAGAGTCTGTTTCAGTAGCCCGGCTGGCTAGTGAACAAAAAAGTTAAGGTCGAACCCTGATAAAACACAACAGACAGAATCGTGTTTCATGCAGTTTTTTTTCCACTGTTTTCTCGAAAAGGTGTAATATCCACTGAGCTGAAACTTCAACAGGAAAGGTTCTGAACAATCTTCCTTGGATTAAATTTTGAGTCGTGTTAATATTGGAAACGAAGAAAATGCATGAAAAGCGAATGATCCTATTATGCCCTCACGGCTGCCCAAGCAGTATTGCAAAAAGCTGCACAACAAAATGTCAAATAAATGTTGTTTTGTGTTCTGAACTTCATTCCTATGTTGTCATGCATGTTACATCTTCGACAAACAACTGTTTTTTTATTGAGATGATAGTGTCCCACTTTTACAATCAGCTGAAATTGAAAAATATATGCAACACAAATGAAATTAAACTGAATACATGTACTAACTTTGGCAATTTGTAAAGATATAAAGAATTTTGGATTCCTTATTTATATATTTATGCAAATACATGTAATAATGTAAGTATTTATAACTTAAGAACTGCATAACCCCAACAGAAAGTTTCCACATAATGCACTACATGTAATAACACATCTTGATTTACATCATTTTTGGCAAGTCAGTTGAGTTTACTGTTAACTAGGCCTGGGGGCGAGTAGTGGAGTTTTCTACTCGTGTACTCGCAAAGAAATTACTCACGAGTAGTTAACCAAATTCCCATAAAAGCAGAAAAACTTACATATACGTTAGTATGATGGGAAATAACTACAAGCAAATAGCGTGCAAATCACACCACATTCTTCAGCACTGAGATGTCCTTACTGTGCGACATTTTGAAGGGAATGTACACCATTTGCTCTTGCTACAATTTTCAGTAGTAAATGGATTTGGGGGATTAGAATGTTATAGCAAATATTGTTAAAGTGACTCGTTTCACGTTTTGGGCTTGAAGATGCCGGGAAAAACCAAGAAAAACATCATGTTCTTGTAGTCAGGTTCCCTGACCCCACTTAAGATGAAACATAGCAGTTTTTAAACTTTGGGAATTTGTAAGGTCATAGAATCAGTCCGGCAGGCTTGTACCCCTTCACAGGTGTGTAATCAATTGCAAAGAAAATGCGGAAAAACTAATTCTGAAAAATTAAGAGCAGCTTTTTGCTGTTTGCAAATGTTGTATCTTCCCTTTAAGTCATTTACTTCAATTTTGTTTTTGAAGAATGGAATCGTAGGGAGAGAGAGTGATGATTCTCTGTTTGCAGGGGATGTATCAAGCAGTGCGGAACCCTAAACTTTCAATTGCTACTCGAGAAAAGCTGCCTCTACTCGCGCCAGGACGAGTACTTGAGTAGATGAAAAACCATGAGTAAAATGAGTAGCATGAACTACTCGCGAGTACTCGAGTAATCAAGTTACGGTACTGTGAAATGATAATTATTTTTTGGTATTTTGGTGAATTAAAGTTAAAGGGAAGATACAACATTTGCAAACATCAATAAACGAAATGATCAAATTGTCACGAAATATCTTAATGGATTGTTTGGGAATGACAGTCTAAAGCATTCTGTTCAGTTGTGGCTCCTGGTGTGCTGTCAGTTTCAAGAAAAACTGTATTTTTCCAACACTGGTCGGCCGACCAGCGTTGGAGAAAACTGGCTTTTTTCAAAAAGTGCTCCTTCCTTTTTTATATTTAGTACATCTACATTTTCTTTGCAATTGATTACACACCTGTGAAGACTACAAGCCTGCTAGACTGATTCTCTGATCTTACAATTCCCCAAAGTCTATAAATTGCTCCGTTTCACCTTAAGTGGGGTCAGGGAACCAGACTACAAGAATATGATTGGTTTCTTGGTTTTTCCAGCATATACGAACACAAAACATGAAACAAGTCAGTGTAGCAATATTTGCTATAACAGTATTACTCCAAATCCATTTATTTCTGAAAATTGCAGCAAAAGCAAATGTTGTACATTCCCTTTAAGGTCCCCGTGCACAAACAATAAATGGCGTTTTGGGATCCCTTTCGAGAGCCCCAGTGGGAGGAACGCGCAGTGTGCAAATACCTATTCGTGCGCGTATTGCGCAAAGTACGCACTACTAATTTATATATTCTTATTGGTAGAGACCAAAGCAGAAAACTGGCCTCATTCCTGATGAACAGGGATAATAATTCGTCACCGTCACCACGAACTCACACTCATGCGCGCGTGAGTGCGCTGCACGCGCGAGTATTTACAGAACCGGGATTTTTTGGGTTCACGAACGGACATCCTCCACAGTGCGGCACTTTTAGAGCGCACCCCGTACATTTTCATTTTCACGAACTGACACCCAAGCAGGATGCGGCAATACAGAACGGAGAAAAACGGTTTTAAAGGTTTGACACGAATTTAATCTATCCGTTTACTTTTGTGATTATACAATGTTTAATTATAAAAAGCGATTCAACTGGTAAAATTAAGATCAGTGTCAGTTTGTGAAACCGAAAATGCACGGGGTGCCCTCTAAAACTGCCGCACTGTGGAGGATGTCAGTTCGTGAAACCCAAAATATCCCGGCCCATGGCGGAAGTGTGAAAAGAGCAAATAAGAATCCTAAACAAATTCTGGGCCCTTAAAGGGAATATACAACATTTGCAAACATCGAAAAATAAAACTACCAAGTTTTTGCGAAATACCTTAATAGGATGTTGGTAAATGACAGTCTAAAGCATCCTGTAAAATTATGGCACCTGGTATACTGTCATTTTCAAGAAAAGTGGTATTTTTGTATCAATTTCCAACGCTGATCGGCCGATCAGCGTTGGAAACAACTGGCTTTTTTTCAAATACTGGCCCCAATTGACCATTGTACTTGTTTGCAATCGATTACAAACCTATGAACGGGTACGAGCCAGCTAGACTGGTTCCCTGACCTTACAATTCCCCAATGTATGTAAACTGCTCTGTTTCTTCTTATATGGAGTCAGGGAACCAGACTACAGGAAAATGATCGTTTTTCTTGGTTTTTATAGCATTTTCGAACCCAAAACCTCCAAAAAGTCAGTGCAACTATATTTGCTTTATATTTCCAACCCCCCAATTCCATCCATTTCTGAAAATTACAGCAAAAGCAAATGATGTATATTCCCTTTAAGCGGGCCCGAACCCCACGCCATAATTTTTTGAACCCACTTTATGGGGGACCAACATTTTTGTTTGGCCCCCCAAAAACTTGGGTTCTGGATCAGCCTTTCCCTTCCCCATAGTTAATTCACTGTTAGCAATAGGTTCAGGTGGTCTTCCCCAACTCTTCGCTCATACCCCCCCCCCCCCCCCACCCAGCAAACAGGACGCTGGGATACTCTGATGGATTTTGCATGACCAGTGACCTGAGCGTCATCAAGGTCATGACTCTGCAAGGTTAGAAACGGCCGTTAAGACTGATTCATTACTCTTTTATTCCAGTTTAGAGATGTTTTTTTTCTCGTTGAAAAGCGTAATAATGTAGGGAATTCTGTAAAGCTTATCGGTGTTGTAAATTTACAATTCCCGTCACTTGCTTAGGCTCTGTTTCGAATCATGAACGGTCGGATTGCATTATGCGACGCTCAACATTTTGTCCACATGGTCCGCAATGAAACAGAAATCACATCCGGTATGGAATGTGCGCATTTCTATGGGAAGTTTTCGGATAGCATTTGCGCACATTGTCTAACTGCGGTCTTGAACAGCTGCAGCCAGATGCTTTATACATACATGTAGGTCATAGGTCACTTCCTTTACAAGATTCTGTGGAGCTCATCAGAGTATCCCAGCATCCTGTTTGCAGGGCGGGGGGTACAAGTGAACCCCAACTCTCGATTTGTAACCGTTGAGGGGGTACTTGTGCACGGAGCCCGTAGTGTTAACACCTTGTAATAATATTTCAATCACAATGGTGCATTCACAGAACGTAACAGGCTCTTCGGCAGACGTTCAAACAATAGTATCCCTGCCGCTCTTTCTATCACGTCAATCGGGACGAGGAAATTCTTCAAAGGCGTGTCGTCTGACGTGGCCTTGTTTGGCACGACGAACGCTCGCAGGTCGTAGGATTGGTTCTTTGTTTCTCCGAGTACGACTTTGAAGAAGTGAGTCGGAACCGCTACAGAGTTGGTACCGATGACCTCGTACTTGACATATTGCCTTCGGTTGGACTCCCAGCTGTTGATAAAAACATCAAAAAGAAAAATTTCACAACAATTTTTAAAAAATGTCAACTATCATGTTGAAATGGAGTAATCAACAGAACACGTTATCTTGAGGTATGCAGTTTAGGAAATTTCCGCATTATGAAAGGAAGTGTAATGTTCGTGACAGAAAAATTATCCATGATATCTAATTAGTAATTCAGAGAAATGATCCAAAACTCCTAGTCTGTATTCTCCTTGACCATTACAAGATGATGGATACATGTATAAGATTTGAAAAGTACATTTTTGGGTTTATTCACTGAGCTCTTAAAGCTCCGTTACGGAGATGAAATAAAGCTGGAATTGCCCATATAACAATATTACAGACGATGTTACCAGTGACGTCATACCAACAAGCAACTGGAACATGCTTTAAAGCCAGAGTCCATCATTTGCAGCTATCCAAAAAGTAACTGGCGTAATTATTGTTAAAAACATACTTGGTTGAAAGATAGTAGGCCTAAGGGGACTAAACTCCCTGTGAAATTATTCTTTCTGGCAGGATTGTCATTTTGAAGAAATCAACAAAAGAAGGCCTTTCCAACGGTGCTTCTTAAGAAGCACTGTAGGAAATTCAAATTAGTAGTTCACTTTGTTATTCGGCGAAGCGCACGCAAGCATTAGCATGACGCACACACGTTTGCTATAATTCGTCAGATCATTGCACGACATTGCATAGCTGCAATCGGCTCAGTGAGAACATGTCTTGGACGCTGAATTCAGGCCCAATTCAAAACATGATTCTGCAACTTTTGATTTGAAATCAAGATCCTAGAATGTTGTTTTATTCGAAATATACAGCTAAAGCTGAGCTGAAACTTCATCAGGTTTGTTGTTCAGCACCCTTCTTTAGATCTTGAACACTTTTGTTGCTTCAAACGAACAAAATGCACAAATTACAAATGATGGACTATACCTTTAAGCAGTTTATATAGACACTTTTAAACCACTCGTATTTCAAGACATAAACAGGCAGCGCAGCAGTTTGCTGAAATTTGGCATCGCGTGACAAAAGTTGTCCTATTTTTGTATACAAATGTGGCATGGTCTTTGATAAAGCCTCAACCAAAATGTAAGACGAGTTTAGACACAGAATAAAGATGTAACGCCCAACTACAGCAATGTATAGTTGGGACAGTCCCCACTGTAGCTGGGACAATCAAAACTACAATTGGGACATCGAACTACAGGGTGAGCAAAAAAAACCCTGAAACCCAAATGTCGGGACCATTGTTTTAGTGAAGTTCTGCATGTAGCACTTTCAAAATCTAGGATATGAAAGCCCAAGTCATAAGCTTTCTTTTAGTACAAGAATCATTCAAATCACTTAATGACTTACATACTTTTAAACGCAACCGACTTACGGAATTTTAAACACAAGCGCCGTTTTAAGGTTCTGTCCACAGATCAGTGTTCAGTGTTCTTTCAGCAAAACGAAAACAAATCACATAAGGATGTGTGTGAATTGTTTTCATTTTGCAGAAAGAACGCACACCTTTTTTTTGTGTTTTCGTGGACCGAACTTTAAAACGGTGGTTGTGTTTAAAACTCCGTAACTTGAAAAGTACATGAGTGATTTGAATGATTCTTGTACTAAAAGAAAGCTCATGAATTGGGCTTTCATATCCTAGATTTTGAAAGTGCTACATGCAGAACTTCAATAAAACAATGGTCCGACATTTTGGTTCTTTTTTTTTTACTCATCCGGTATAGCTGGGACAATCACAACTACTTTGGGACAATCAAACTATAGCTGGGGCCTAAACGAAGACAGCGAGATTCTTACTGTGGTAGGTATAAGGGTCCTGTGCAAACATACACCCTGGTGTACACCTTCGTCAAGCCCCGGACGTACTTCTCCAGATTGTTCCAAATGCCGCGGTTGAAACCGTCGCCAACCTGCAGGATTCAGACGAGGAAAACGACAAAATATACAGCAGTTTGAATAAATATTTGAATCATAAACCTTTAATAAGGGAATGACAGTGTGAGGATCCGGTCTTCACTGTGTGATAATGACAAAATTTGGGGGTGACCGCTGTTAAAGGACAGAGACAAAGTCGAGGTCCGTTAACAGCGATCACCCCCAAACCCGGTCATTATTTTTATTTTTATTATTTAATTAATTAATGTTCGACTATCATGCCGAAGGTCCTGGGATGGAATCCGCAATGTACAAATGTGTTCTTTACTTTTATGATTTTAATCAAATCCTACGTTTTGTTGAAGCAGATTTTACTTTTTCTTAGTAATCCATGAATGGAGGATTGCTTTTGTTAAAGGGAAAGAAAGTCTGAGAACCGTTCGGTTGATAGTCTGGTTCCAAGAGCAAATGATCCTGACGTTGAATATTGTCAGGTCAGGGAACCAGATGGTCAACTGCCGTCAGGCCAAAAAAAAGTTTCCGGTTTCTGGTATGCGCGTCGGCAAAATGAAAAAGTTTTTTTTTCAATGTAAGATGATGTCTCAAAACCGCCAAACTCACTGGTTTGACTGGAATCCTGCTGCTGCACAATTTTAACGTGTTTTTAGATGGGGTTACTATCGAGTATAAGCTTTATGTGGCCTCTCTGGACTCTTATATATTTTGCACTAAATTTAGTCAGGCACCATTTGCAGTCATCAGCCCACATTTAAAGAAAAAAAGTAAAAAAAAAAAAAGCTGCGTCGCCGTACCACTTTTGGGGCAAGCTCCATACCAGAAACCGGAGACTTTTTTTTTTGGCCTAACGATAGCCACTGCGGTGTTTTTTTTTACCTGAGGAGAAACATTACTGAGTAAAAAAGTCTGTTGCATGACCCCGTCGGATCGTCTGTGATTGCCTGCTGCCGCTAGGTGACCCCTGTCATAGCCACTCCCTCTGTAGTCCTCATTGGTGGACCGGAAGAACGGATGCACCGATTGGTCCACCTCAAACTGACAGTTTGTCCTATCAATGGCGTCGTTGTATTTCACCTCGTCTCGTGTTAAGCATTCAAAGACCCATTTGGCGTTTCTCATTCTCCTGTCGTACGAGATCACATAGTTATCGTGCATCTGAATTTGCCCGTAGTCGGGGAAACCAAATTTCATAATTTCACCGGATCGGTTTGGAGACGGCGGTTGACTTGGATACTGTTGCTTGGCAGCCGCGGCTTGAGTGAACGGTGTCCATCCTGAATTGCTTTTTCCAGGGTTTAAAGTTAGATTGTTTGCAGCATGTTGTTTGGATCTTTCATACAAAGAACCGAAGACTCCCCCAACGCCGAGGGAGATGGCAGAAACTACTGGCCAAATCGACGGAGCCATCATGTCTCCTGCAAAATAAAACATACAAGAAAGTTTTGTCAGATCACAAAAATTTAATCATTGAATGTTAAACCTTAAAGGCAGTGCTATTTTGCTGTGACAAGCCATCTATTTCCAGACGCTAACGTGCCCAAGTGTGCTCTAAGAACCCTTGTCAGTAGGTTCGCTGGAATGACGGCAAGACACTGACTTAGGTTCTTGAACTCTTCTTTTCTCTTAAATTATAACTATACTAGTTTTTGAAGAAGAAAAATAGTAGATGAAAAATGGGCATTGGTGGATTTGAAGTTGAACCAGGCGTCTAGTCTCGCTATCCACTAGACTACTGTGGCACTGCTCAATGACAGCCGTTTCTTTAAATGCTTTAATGGACGGGCAACGTAACGTATTATTAGTTGACTTGCATACATCATTATCTTTAGGCAGTGGATATTTTGCCGGAGACGGCAAACCTTTAGTAAACGTTAGTTTGCCGGATATGCACTGAACATGCGCAGTTACTGTTTTTTTGTACTTTAACATTTTTCGGTGACAAATTTTAGTCTGGCTCCATGCCAATATTATCGTTGTAACCTCGTATTCACAAGATGGGATTCAGACCATTTTATAATTTCGGACTTTATTTCCCTTTAAAAAAAAATCCTCCAGAGCCACAAATCTGAAAAAGAAAATGTAATACTCTGCAATAAAATGTTTGAGACATGTTAAAATAATAAAAGAAGAATAGTGCTTAACCACTACACCAAACGTGCTACACAATCTTGGTGGGAATTTAATACATCTTAAAATTCAGCCCTATCTTAAAGAGTACAGCGCCCTCTGTTGATATGGATTGCCGCCGGCAAACCTTTAGTAAACGTTAGTTTGCCGTCATTACCTCCGGCAAAATATCCACTATCTTATCTTTACTCATCATGAATGAACATAAAATCCATCAAAACAGCAAATCAGGTAGTGCACTGAAATACCCTAGTCACTAGTCTAGTCCGAGTAACTTGGACCTAACTTATCGCCTTTCTTAACATTTGGACATGGTCTGGCGATAGTATGTCCAAATGTTAAAAAAGGCGATAAATTAGGTCCAAGTTACTCGGACTAGTCACTAGTCATGCTAGTCAGTGCTTTAATAATTTGTGTAATATACTAATAATAAAATTCATTTTGTTCTAAAAAATTCTATCTCCATGGTTTAAAATAATTGATATAAGTTAAGAATGTTGCATCCTGACGCCACGTTTTTCATCATATATTATCTCAATGAAGGTCGGTCATTGCAAAAATGTTGAAAAGATGAATCTGGGACCGGGAGTGGGACTGGGCAATTCCTTCCTCCATGGACTGGGTGAGAAACATTTCCAATTTTGAAAATGCACTCGACTCTCCATAGACTTTGTAAACAACCAAAGAAGTGGCGTCAGGATACTACATTATTTCCCTCAGTCTTGTGGTCGAAATACAAATTGTACATGTTTACCTGAAATCTTTGACTTTGCAAGAAGAGTAATTGCTCTAATTGCTCAAATTACTCATGTGCGAAGGGGTTTCCCCCATGAAGAGCGAACCACTAATGTTATATAGCGCCCTCTTGTGTCGTTGCGTTTTGTAAACAAACTGAACCTTTGGTTATCTTGCATCACATGTTAATCTTTAAAGGAAAATAAATAATTTTCAAAAGATTAAAAACGGAGCAAATTATATCATATTGGTTTTTCTTCAATGTTTGTATATCTTCCAGTAGCAAACAAGGCTTTTAAAGTATCTTTTTAAACAAAAATCGATCTAAATTTGATGTCACCATCTACACGGCAATAAAGAAAATGTAATTGATTGCAGTAGTTTGGTTTACGAAAATACAATGTGAAATGGTCGGGAACCACACCGCCCCATGGCACATGTGTATTTTGTGCGTAGGCAATGTAAACAAGTGCATAACGACAAGTGCCATAGAGAACCGTTACAGGGAAATTCTCAAAAGGGATTTCTTTGCTAAATTGTGTCTTTCCTAGAGAGCGTATTTCACATTTCAAGCATCCAGACGAATCAACGAACAGTTCAGCAATGCCGTAAGCTACAATTTGAGACAAAATGAGCCTGAATTGGCGGCGGAATGACTACTTTGAGCGGTTGTTGGAGGACGGTCCGTCCAGCCACTCTGCTCTGGAGTTGTTGGTGGACGATCTTCACCGTGACAAGGCTCACACCATCGGGGCGTTTCTCGACCATTACGGGTCGGAGGATTTCATGTGGGGCTTGGTCCGTATGCTGAGCGCTGAAAACACTCGGTAAATATCTCTTAACCTGCAGTTTGGTGTTGCCGTTGATTTGTTTGAAGATGGCAGTGTGCGGTTTAATCAAATAAACTTTAATTTGTTTAAATTAAAAGAAGAAGAAAAATGTGTAATTATTTATTAATTAAAAATAAATTGGCCTGTAATTTTTTTTCAGTTGTTTTAATGATTGTAGTTTATTAGTATTTACACAGTTTTTATTGTTTAAAAATGACTTGGTTCTTTGATGTTTTTATTTTATTGACACCCTGGTTGTTTAAAGTTTGATCTAGCCCGAATGCCTCTGGCCGTACAGTACTATCACAAGCTCTAGTAGTACGAGCTTGTGATAGTAGTACGGCCAGAGGCATTTGGGCCACGTTTGATCAGTATTTTGGGTGGACTCGTAAACGTGGCGTTAATAACGATGCCATGCTCCTGAGTGACGTAGAAACACTCAAAACAGCCACTCTTTAAAACATCCATTACGCAACTTGTTATTTTTCGTGCATGTATTGTTACATGTAAATACTTACTTCTGAAGCTTTTTGTGAATTCACACGAGCGTAGAAGCGTAGAATCTGGCATTGCCAAGAAATTTGAGGGGAAAAACGACCAAACGTATGAGCGCAATTTTTGATTTTCTGAGGTCACGCACAGTACGCTGGTACATGTACTCTGAGTCATGTACGTGCGAAATGGTAGGTAGCATGCGATTATACGGTACCTTTAATTTTGTAAACATTTAGCAAATATTTTAAGAAACGTTTAAACGTTCACAAAGGCTGACGCACACTCACTCGAAACAAACATTGCCCACTGAGTGTGTGTAGCATATTTCAATCGTGTTGTGAGCATGCGCAATAGCGAGGTCAACTGCTTGCGTCAAAGTCGTGAATGATAATGAGCATTGTCCCGCGCACACGTTTTGCAACGTGCGTGTGAATGTGCAGTCATGCACTTTCATTTTATATATTCTTGCATATGGGTCATCCAAATCGTCGCCAAGACTTTCAACTTCACCCACAAAAATAGTGCATTTTCATGAGGAAAACCCCCAGAATATTCTTCTGGGGGAAACCCATGGAAGCAGGTAGGGTTTGAAATCCTAATCGTTGGGTGCTTTGGTCCAATAGTTACCAGTGGTTACGGTGTTCGACTCGTGTGCAGTGGTACTTGGGTTCGAATCCTGACCGTTGGAACATGGTGCTTGTGCTCTTGAGCAAGGCACTTTACCATTATTGCTTCGTCCTTGGGATGGGATGTAAAGCCGTAGGTCCCATGTGTTGTGTAATGCACGTTAAAGAACCAATACTTATCGCTAACAGAAGGGGTTAGCCCCAGTGTTTCTGGCAGTGGCTGCTTAATGCGTCGCAGCACCTAGTAAACCCTTATAAGGTGCTACATAATGGGTCTCATATTTCTCATAAACTTCATTTACCTGTCTTTAATAATAATATTAGACATAATTTCCAGCGCCTTGAGTACCTAATTGTTGGTAGATACGGTACATGTACGTGTGCTATAAGGCTCCGGTATTATTATCATTATGTGGTCCGGGCAGAAATCTAACCCAGACCATATGTATAGCTGTAGAAATCGAGGAAAGTATCCACTGCGCCAACCTGACTCCCCATGATGTGTTTTCTGCAAACAATTGAATAATGTTGTCAATTTGTTTCTAATAATTTTCATCTTGCATCAGGCCTCAGTATTATCTCAAATGCAAAGTATTGCTTTGAAACGTATGTGCAATATTCATACCATGAAACCGGTCCCTAAGGGCCAACTCACACCAAGAGATCGTTTCACAGAATTTAATTCCGTACAAGCGGTGGATTCACAAAGTAATGTTGACTGGACAAACACGCCAGCGCCTTGTCATTGTGCTCTATGTCTTGACGTGTTGACTTGTTGCGGTGTAATGGGTTTGCGTTCGGGATCCGAGTGTCTGGGTGTGGGCGAGTTAATAAAGGAACGAGATGAAGACAAATATTGACAACTGCATGAGACCAGTGGCTGAGTGGGTATTGGGTGGTGTTTTTTGGAATAGCTGGAGTAAACTGTTGATTATTAGATGGGATAGATGCGCACTTGTAAATACTGGGCCTGTACTGCTGTAAACAAATACACCGTGGTTAATTAAAGTTAGAGTATTTGTGCATTGTGTTCGTTTGAATCAACAGAAGTGCTCAAAATCTAATGAAGGGTGCTGAACAACTAACCTGATGAAGTTTTAGTTCAGTGAATGCTGTATATTCCGAGAAAACAATATTCTAGGATCTCGATTTCAATTCAAAAGTTGCCGACTCATGTTTTGAATTGCACCCGACATCAGCGTCCGGGACACGTTCTTGTTCAGCCGATGGCAGCTACGCAGTGACACGCTCTGAACCGACAAATTCTAAATAGCAACCGCGCGCATGTGTGTCATGTCAAAACTCGCGCGCACCCATTCACGGTTTCGCCGAATTAAAAATTCAGTATGTACTAACGGAAATTTCGAAAAATGTGTCTTTAGAAGCATCTTTGGAAATGACCTTCCTTTGTTGTTTTCTTCAAAATGACAGCTTGCCAGAAAAAAATAATTTCACAGGGAGTTTATTGCCGGCCATTACTATCTTTAAACCAAGTATGCTTTTTAGCAATAATTTTGTCAGTTACTTTTTGGATGGCTGCAAATTATGTACTCTACCTTTAAGGGGAAGTAGTGTAAAACTTACTGGTCCCGAGTATTGACTACCGGAGCTACATACGGTACATGTATACAGTACCACCTGTACTACCAGTAGATAGTCAAAATCAGTCAACACTCAGTACAATTTAGCGCATCTTCCCCGAAATAAACAATGTAGTACAATTGATTTATTTAGTACACCTGTAAATTGAAAGTTTCATTATCCAAAATTCTGTTGGAAATTTGTTATTTTTTCAGATTGATATTCCTATCCTTAGGGTACTCACTTTATTTTAGGAGTGCGTTGGTTCCAATCACGCGAGCGTGTTTGCATTTGTTACCAAGGACTTGCGAACATGTTGTCCATGGAGTATCTGCTTGCATAAACGTCTATGATGTACATGTATGCGTGCAGATCCGTTGATTAATTATGCAAAACAACACTGCGTCTTGACCTCCAGATTCTGACCATATCTATTGGGTCTTCGGTATTAAACCCGTTGTTGTATTACAAAAACGTGGTAGCTGCAGCAAATTGACCAATCCATTTCCAGCTTAGTTCACATTTCTGCACGAAATGACGTCACAGCTTCCAATGTCGACTCTGATTGGCTGGTGCATAAATTTGCATGCACACATATTAGACATTGTAGCAGAGATACATGAACCTATAAAGTAGGCTCCGTTGAACAACGGATGATACTCAGATTATGGCACAACAATGTCATTGTTAGAGTGTCAGTTAAAACACCCATTCCAGACTTTTTAGCCATTAGGCCCCCCAAAAAAAATATTCGGTCTCTGGTCAGACCAAAGTTCCGGAATTGACGCGGCGACGCGGCTTTTTTTTTTTTTTTTTTTTTTTTTTTTTTTTCAAGCTTGGATTGCACAGACAAGGTGGGGTACTAGTTTGCTTTTTTGGTGTCCTCATGTACATTGGTGTCCTCCATAATTTGCCTTGGTGCTCTCGATCATTTGCCTTGGTGCAATTTCCCATTCCTTGGTGCCCTTTGGTAAAAAAAATTGAGGAGGTGCGGCTGTTGGAGCTACCGCGGAACATTTTGGAAAAAAAAAAGATTGATGCGCATGATTAAAATCGACGCGCGCGCTGACCAGAGACCAACTTATTTTTTTTTTTTGGCCTTACCAGACTTTTTTTAGCAATTCCTAGATTGCCATTCATTTTTTAGCAACTACTATATTTTTTGGCAATGCTAGAGTTTTACCGGTACCTCAGGTAGAAAGGTAAAGGGGACGAACCTGTGTTCACAGGAACGGAGTGCCCATCTCTCTTTCATTAGCGATTGGCATGATTGGGTCAGACTCATATGCTGCTGTGGGGGGATCGCCACACCTCCTCCACAGCGAGTCTGTTACCTTCCCAGCATTGAACAATGCCGGTACCCATTTAACACCTGGGTTGAGAGGAGTAATTGAGGTAAAGCGCCTTACTCAAGGGCACAACACACATGGCCATGGCGGGCTCGAACCCACAACCTCACGATCATGAATCATGTGCTCTACCGCTAGACCACACGTACATGTACCCCTTTACCTCTGGAATGTTTTTATTACCGGAACCTCTGCCAAGGAGGATTTAAGTTTCATCAGATTTGGTTAGTTTGTTGGTTGACTCCGAAAGTTATGGACGGATTTGCATGAAACAATTTTTAGGGGTGGTCCTTGCTACAAGTAGAAATAGATTAGATTTGGAAGTGATCCGGATCTGGGTGTGGATCCAGGATTTTTTTAAAGGATTCTTCACCATTTATGCGAGTATTTCTTTTGGTGTACTGACAACATGGCGGGGAATTGTTTAGCCTGGTGGAGGTTTGTGCAAGATAGTTAGTTACTGGTTTTTTTAGCACTACAATATTTGTGTAGCCTCACGATATTTTTTCCCTCTAACTAATTAATGGGGTATTTTTTATTTGAAGAATTGTTCATTTTCTGTACAAGTTTGGTCTTTCAAATGTACAGCGTTTTGAGGTCTTTTTCATTAAGATGGAAGGCGTTTTATAAGTAATAATAATTATTATTATTATTATTATAGAAAAACTGTTGACAAAATGGCAGCACGCTTGGTTCGTTAGCAGCTCTTAAAATAGAAAATTTATCGTGATTGATAATTTATGAACTGACTGTCACGTAACAAAAACTGAAAAATTCATTACATTCATTATTTGTGTCTGCCATTTTGGGAAAAAAACACAGCAAAAGACACCAGCATCTCACTTGTCAGGCAGACTGTTCACCTTTGTTGCCAACTTTCGTCAACGCTGGTGGCAAACGGTCGGTCCCACTTGTGCAAATGTTGCCAATGTTGGCAAACGTTAGCATTGTTCCCTGTAAAGTGGAACACATCACTGATGTCAGATGTCGGAAACACTGAAAAGAGCACAGAAGTGAAAGGCACGAAGCCATTCATAACAAAGTATTGTGCTTCTAGACACACAAACCCAAAATAGTCATTATACCCAGTTCCTACATGGCACAGTGTTTACTGTATCACTGAATATTGCAAGGAGTACCAATATGGCTTCTTGTGACAGTGAGAACACAAAGAAAAGGAAGTCGTTCTGGAAGCTTCATACAGTGAAGTAAATGTGCAATTGCACGGTAACGTTCGTTACATTTTCAGGCACTTAATTGACACGCACAAACGAGTCTCACAACTTAATGCATTGGTTTCAACAGTCAGGCTTTTTTTTTTTTCATTTGAAAACTGTAAACATCTACGTTTAAAGATATGAATAGGCCTACAAAGAGGAAAGCTTTCTTGCGGGGGGGGGGGGGGGGGGGGGGGCAACAACAGTTTAAACTTTGGTAACTTTCGTTACATGAATATGCATAATTTTTGGGAGGTCTTGATTCAGAAATCTCATCGTATGCATTGATAATTTTAAGTACTAGTTTAAACATTTAAGAAACTCATAATAAATTTAAAAAAACTCTTTTGGCATAGAATTTGAACCTTTCTGTCTGACCTACATGTAAAAACAAAAACTCACAATAACACTCACTTTTTCCAAGTTAAAACAAGGTACCAAAATGAATTCCAAAAACACATGATTTTTGACCCCCCAAAAAACAGGGGTTTTTTTACAACAAAAACCACGCTTAACTGCATTCCATCGCACTGGCATACCGGTACCACTCAAATGAAAGGTCTCGTTTTCCCCTTTATTTTGATATCACATTTGCTGTTCTGATGCTTGTAGAACTTTTCTGAAGATTTTTCAGCCATGTCCACTTCTCCGTGGAATCAAAATGGAATTCTGCATTACTTGTAAGGCAAAGTTTGTTTTCCTTAAACATGCATGTTTCTATTAACTTTTGGTCACAAAACAAAAATTCCTATACCTGAACGTTTTGACCAGAAGTTTTCTATCAAAATCTTTTGATTTGAGATTGAATCACAAACACGGATAAACTTTCAGGTTAAATGAGAGTTTCCGTTTTGATTTTCCAGACAACTAAAATGTGGTTTTTTTATTCTGCTGTTTTTTTGACGGAGAGAGTTTGTTTTTCTTAATTTTTATTTTTTTTATTTTTATTTATGTAGGCCCTATTCCTTGTTCTATTTTAGTTGTCGTCTTCAATAAGTTTGATTACAAAATGGATAAAAAAAATTGTGTGCACAAGAAATTATCCTTAATCGCATAAAAATGAGAAAAATGTTGAAAATGTTTGCTCTTTTTTTGGGGGGGGGGGGGGGGAGTTTGATCATTTCATTACTCGCAAGTTTTTTTTCTCGTGATTTTAAGTTATTGGATCGTTTAACTGAAGTGGACATGTTCAAATTACATTATTGGAATTATTTTACACCCAGCTATAATGATATCACTATGAAATCCAGATAGCAAAGATTATCCATTGTAAGGAAATATTTACTCCTGAGAGTGATATCTTTGTGTCAATACGATCACAACGTGTTCCCTAGTCAACGTGCACAACAGGCCTGACACGATTCCAAAGCTCAGATAGTATTTTGCTAAAATACACTTGATAAAAAAACTCTATTGTACGTGCAGGTACATGTACGTGCATGTATGCACGATACATGTAGATGATAACGGCCTAGTTTTCAATTAATTGCTGCAAATAGTTTCTGTATTAAAAGATCTGGAAATGCATGGTTCACTTTAACTCTTTTTTTTCACTAGCCAGCCGGGCTACTGAAACAGACTCTTAGCCCGCGAGCATTTTCACCAGCCCACATGTTTTTCTTTTAAAGAGTGTCTCATGATCAACAATAGACATACATGTACATGTAAAACGTGTATCCTGAGGCAATCTTGTCAGTGTTTTTAATAAACACATAGAATTATTTAACCCTAACCAGTTAATAAAATTAGACACATACAGGATTGCTTTCTGAATTTAATGATTTATTTCTTCCTGTCCTTTCATCTTTGCCATAGCCCAATTAGGCCATCAGCCTGGGTCCAAAATTTTGGCCACCGGTAGGCCTATCAAATGAGGGGAATAATCGTCGAGCGATTTTTGGCGAGGCATACACCTCCAGAGTTGGAAAATATGTGATAGCATTGCAACAGTGGCAGCTTTTGGGATGTTATCACCTTTTTTCAAAACGTCCATCAAAATGCTTGTTACAGTACCACCAGTTTACCACTCTAGGGGCGGTATACCTTGCGCATGCGCACTATAATCATTTATGCCCTGATTTGATACTGACCAAACCCCAGGCTGATGGCCTACATGTAAATAATGTTTGACTCGCCAGCCGGGCTACTTAAGGAATACACAGTTTGACTAGCCCACCGCTGTCTTGACTAGCATTTGGCTATCGGACTACCGCTAAAGTCGAACCCTGAAATGGTGGTAATTTTTCCTGATTTCAGGGGTTTTTGCATTTTGTCAAGTCAAGTGCTTTCAATATTCTGCAATTTTAAAACAACTATTTAGGAATACAATGTCCTGTAACTAATGAATTTGCTTGTTTGCATTTGCACGCCTTTATACAGTTTTAAAAAGTGCTTTTAACATTGCGCTAATGGCGCGCTCCAGTTCAGAAAGCTTTGAGCCAAATGCTACAAACATTCATATCCAGTGACATTGACTGGTTTACGTATTAAGTTTTTGGCAGGGTTGAATTCACACATTGTAATCCTACCCCGGTAGCTATGCGATGATCGCGGCCGACTGAGATTATTTGGCACTTTTTTTTTTGTCATCTGCAATTCATTGTTCCCATTCTTTGAGTATTCGCCGTGGTCTATTACGCGCGAACAGATTTGCTGATTAATTAGGCAAGACCCTGCCTCTTGACTTCCTAGATTTTGACCAATCAGCGAGCGCTTACTATAGGCCTATCGGGTCTTCGGTCATTCACCTGTTGGGCGTCAGACACATGGATAAAGAAAAACTGTCACGGAGCGCGGCGCTCGGTATCATGTGACGCGAATGCGCTCCCGGCTGTTGTTGTATTACAAAACACTGCATTCGAATTGACCAATCACAGCGTTAGTCCTGATTTGGGAATAAAATGACGTCACGATTTAGTAAAGTCGATTCCAATTGGCTGGCGCGCAGCTTGCATAAATTTGCATGTCAGGAGATGTCAGACGTTCGACCGGAGAAAGGGCTCCGTGGAGAACAGGTGATACTCAGACTATTCTTTGAGCGGGTTAAAGCCATAATTCATACAACTCTTGAGAACTCTTAAAGTATTTGGCCATTGGCTCTACATGTATGTTCAACTTTTCATACATAATTCATGCCTACAATACATTGACAGAAAATGCTGCATGGCCTTGGAGCACTGCACATATAATTTATGCATGAAATCAATGTCCAAATGAACAATCAAAAGTATTCTTCTTGGTTGCTAGAGGTGTTTAACTACATGTTCACCTAATGAATAATTCATACACTAGTCTCAATGAATTAATTATTCATATGTCCGGGCCATTGTAGCTGGAAAGCTTCAAAAATCAAATTGTGTAGTGAAAAGAAGTTAATGTAATGATCATTGTTAACTAATTTATTTACAAAACCTCTTGCAAATTATGTCAAGTAATTTGTAGTTAAAGTTTTGGATTGAGCTAAGAAGTATTTCCAAAATTTGCTGTTATTCTCCGTCATTGAATTTTGTCCTATCTTTCATGCTTAATGAATAATTCATACATTTCTGTCAGGGTTGCTGGTAACGCCGCCTACATGTACAGGGTGAGTCCAAAAAAAGCGGAACCCAAAAAAAAAAAATCATATTTCATATTTAAAAAAATATGTAGCACCAAAAATAATAATGACTGGAAAGCCAATTTCACAAGCTACTTTTAGATGAAAAAAAATACTGAAATTGCTCAATCCGTTCAAAGAATATCACCATTGAACCACAATGACCCTAAAACCTCTTTCGTCCAAAAATGCGATTTCAAGAATCGTCGTCACAATTGTCTTCAAACATCGCCAGCCATAAAACCTCAGTTTAATAGTTAAAAATATTCAACAAAGTCCCTTTGGAGGCCCGTCTTTTAAAAAAAGTGGATTTTATAAATCAGATTGTTTGCCTAACCAGGGTTGTTAATAAAGATACTGTGTACTACAGTTGTTGAAACAAGTATTCTGTGTCATTTTCTTTGTTGTTCCAAACAGTCAGAATACACAGTAAATTCCTTTTTTTGGCGAAACAGGTTTTAGGGTCATTGCATTTAAATGGTGATATTGTTTAAATGGATTGAGCAATTTCAATAATTTTTTCAACTAAAAAGTAGTTTATGAAATTGGCTTTCCAGTCATAATTCTTTTTGGTGCTATGTAGGCCTATTTTTTTTGAAAATATGAAATATAAATTTTGGGGTTTTGGGTTTCGCTTTTCTTGACTCACCCTGTATATCTTTGGTACAGCTGCTGAGAATTTTGAAAGTTAATGGGCCACAGCCCCATATTGACTAATACACCTTGTTTGCAATACTTTGTGAATTATTCATATCTTTCCTGCCAGGGTTACGGGAAACTCCACCTACATCTCTGAGAGTGTTGAAGGTCAGACGAGGGTGTTGTCACTCATCAGTGGGCCACACCCTCTTAGTGTCATCAATAATTTGAATATACCTGGTATTGTGTAGCCTTGGTCAAGGCACTAGTTGTTATTCATCCAGCCGTAACGCGGTAAACGATATCTTCGCTAGCACTATGCATGCAGTCATATGTCCATGCATGCAGTGCATTAAAAATACAGCGCGAACAGCGACCTCACGCGGCCACTATTTTTATGGAAATCAGTTGGACCCAATCTAGCGCCTTGGTTCAATCGTCCATGTGAGGTTTTGGGGGTGGTGCTCATTATGTTAATAGCCTTAGCTGACCTTAAATGTCGTTTTCTTATTGGTCGATCGTTGCATGGAAACTTGCAGAGTGAAAAGTGGCACCGTACATAATCCATACACGTACATGTACACATTGTGTGTCTCTGCACACGGCACCAATGCAGAAAAACTGTGGTTCCTGTCACGTCCGCAAAAAAGGCGAATGGCTGCAAACAATTTGATGACGTCCGGATTTACCAAGGTGTGATTGGACACTCCACATATTAGCCCAGCCTACACTTATCTGTATTCGCATACGAGGTCGTGCGCTAGAAATCCAGCGCAAAATAAAGAAAAACATAATCTTTTGCCGACGATTGAACCAAGGCGCTAGATTGGGTCCAACTGATTTGCATAGAAATGGTGGCCGCGTTAGGTCGCTGTTCACGCTGTACTTAGCACCGCATGCATAGCACTAGCGAGGATATCGTTTACCGCACTACGGCCGGGATTAATAACAACTAGCACCTTGACCAAGGCTAGGTATTGTGATGCTATATGAATAATTCATATTTTTCTTCCAGTGTTGCTGGTCAAACTCTGCCTACATCTTTGGTACAATCGCTGATACTGATAGTTCTGAAGGTCAGACAAGAGTGTTGTCACTCATCAATGGGCCACACCCCCATAATGCCCTGGCTGATTTGACCGACAGTATTTTATTGATGATTAGTGAATAATTCATATTTTTCTTCCAGTGTCGCTGGTCAAACTCTGCCTACATCTTTGGTACAATCACTGATACTGATAGGTCTGAAGGTCAGACAAGAGTGTTGTCACTCATCAATGGGCCACACCCCCATAATGCCCTGGCTGATTTGACTAATGGTATTTTATTGATGATTAATGAATAATTCATATTTTTCTTCCAGTGTCGCTGGTCAAACTCTGCCTTCATCTTTGGTCATGTTGGTACAATCACTGATACTGATAGTTCTGAAGGTCAGACAAGAGTGTTGTCACTCATCAATGGGCCACACCCTAATGCCCTGGCTGATTTGACCAACGGTATTTTATTGATGATTAATGAATAATTCATATTTTTCTTCCAGGGTTGCTGGAAACTCCGCCTACATCTTTGGCACCGTGGCTGAGAGTGTTGAAGGTCAGAGGAGAGTGCTGTCACTGGTCAATGGGCCACACCCCCACAACGTCCTCGCTGATCTGACGAACATGTTGGATTATGACGACGATGAGTCTGTCATGAATGCTGCTGGTACCCTTGGAACCCTGGTAAACAACAAATTTTGAAAATATGTCGCAGTGTATTTTTTTTTCAAAATATGGACTTCATGCACCAGTATTGAACTTCTTCATATGGAATGTGTTCCAGCTCCCACGATACAATGTTCAAATTTCCTCCCCAAAAATAGGTTCTTTATCTGAATTTATATTTTTCTAGCAATATAAAAGTTACTCACTTTTAAATGAGAGATCGACCGAAAAAAAAATCGGCCCATGTTTTATGGCAGCCCTGACAATAATTTGGTCCTCTGCTTACAAGACAGATCTGCTTGTGCCCAAAATAAAAATGTTTCCCAGAGGGTTGTAGATGCCAAAAACAAAGGGAAAAAAGGAGGATTTTTGGTTGGAATAAATATACAAGTTGAAAATAAACATCACAAAAAAAGAAAGTCCACACCGTTGAGCTATTTTAAATTACTAGAGCGCTAACTCATGTACAAAGTGATGCCTGCTGGGCGCATCCGTGTTTGTACACAAACCTATGGAGAACTAGAAATTTTGTACATATTTTGTACGTCTATTTACATATCTGCGTTTGTATTCCATACCGGTGTGTCATCGAAGCCGATACGCCTAAAACCGAAATGCACGATCAGCAAAGGAGCGTGTCATTTTGCTCTACGCAAACAGTGCAACGTGTGCGCGCCCCTCCGCTGCAGATGCTTTTCGCCGTGACGTTTGTTGAACCGTCATGACACGCTTAAGTTGTTTACGTATGTTCTACTTGTGCGTACACTTTAGAGTACACTTTTAAACTTCAATCCATCTATTGTGATTGTGTTCTACAAACACGCACATAAATTCAAAATGTCTGCGCCCAGAGTGGCTTCAAAGCGTCTCCGCGCGCAAGGATGAGGAGTTAGCGCTCTAGTAATTTAATATAGCTCTATGGTCCACACTCATTGGAGGGATTGTAATTTTGAATCTGATTGTCTTATGATGATGTCAAATACATGTACACTGTATATAGACCTTTGGGGAATTTTGCCAGCTACATTTTGATACCCCGTTTGCTACCAAAGAAAAAAAATCGTCAAAAAATGCCAACGGTTTATGAAAAAAATGAAGCGGTACGAAAAGTTGGAAAATTAAAGATTACGTGAGGAGAAATTTCAAAGTGCAAACTCACACGCCCGTAATGTCCCCTATCGAGTGCAAGTGCCCAAACAAAGTGCGGGTAATTCAAGTTTGCGTGCTCCCATGCACGCAAGCACTGTGGGATCGATATTCCCTGCCATTTGTTTTGGGCAGTGTAACATTGTCATGCAGCAATTTCCACTCGCGTACTCCTTAAAATTGCTACTTTTCTAACTGCATCATTTTTCATAAAATGTTGTCAATGTTTGACGATTTACAATCGCAAACAAGGTTCTTTTAAAAAAAATTAAATTTGTCACACAGTCACTTTTGGTGACTCCATCGGACAAAAAGAATTTAGGAAATATGCCATACACTCCCATGAAATGAATGAAAACCAACTAGACACTTCTCAATATTCTATAAACAATATACAAGCAAATTTATTTACACAAAATCCCCAAATTTTACAAAATTAAAAATTCACAAGTCCAAAACAATTTCTATGACTTGACTTATTCAAATCAGGTACAGATTTCCAATAAATTCTCAATCTGCAAACTTCTTCAAATTTGGTATTTCTCAACGCTTCAATGAATTAATACTCTCAAAAACAAATCACTTCCAAATTCAACTACGAGAATTTCAAATATCAATCAGTTCACACTAATTCTCAATCTGCAAACTTCAGGTCTCAAACCATTTATCAACAACCAATCTCCAAAACAAAATTTTCTCGGATTGTGATCAATAACCTTAAATTTCAAATTTCACTCGAGTTTCAAAATCTATACTTCTCAAACTTACGAAACTCACTTAAACTTCCAGAAAATTTTCTGTTTTCAAAATCTATACTTCTCAAACTTACGGTTAGGAGTTTCTTCACTCGAATAAATCAGAAAATCTGCTTGTCACACAAATGTAGCTAGCAACATTCCCAAAAGGTCTACATAATTGACGTTATCATAAGACGATGGCTTTCAACATTGTGACCCCTCCAATGAGTGTGGACTTTCTTTTTTTGCGTTGTTTATGTTGATGAGCATTCCAGAATGTCTTATTTCCTAACTTTTCCTATTCCGTAACTTCCTTTCTTTTCCATGTTTCCCGTGTTATTCCTATTGAAGGCCGAGAGCTCAGGTGGAAGAGAATGGATGCTGAAGGAACCTTGTCTGCAAGTGACCATCAGTAGAGTGACCGGTCTTCTGACCAGTAACAACGTCTGGACAGCCAGCAATGCAGCCCTGGTCTTAGCAAGGTAAGTCTGAATTGACCGTCAGTAGAGTGACCGGTCTACTGACCAGTAACAATGCTGGACAGCCAGCAATGCGGCCCTGGTCTTAGCAAGGTAAGTCTGAATTGACCATCAGTAGAGTGACCAGTCTACTGACCAGTAACAACGTCTGGACAGCCAGCAATGCAGCCCTGGTCTTAGCAAGGTAAGTCTGAATTGACCATCAGTAGAGTGACCGGTCTGCTGACCAGTAACAACGTCTGGACAGCCAGCAATGCAGCCCTGGTCTTAGCAAGGTAAGTCTGAATTGATCATCAGTAGAGTGACCGGTCTGCTGACCAGTAACAATGTCTGGACACCCAGCAATGCAGCCCTGGTCTTAGCAAGGTAAGTCTGAATTGACCATCAGTAGAGTGACCGGTCTGTTGACCAGTAACAACGTCTGGACAGCCAGCAATGCAGCCCTGGTCTTAGCAAGGTAAGTCTGAATTGATCATCAGTAGAGTGACCGGTCTGCTGACCAGTAACAATGTCTGGACACCCAGCAATGCAGCCCTGGTCTTAGCAAGGTAAGTCTGAATTGACCATCAGTAGAGTGACCGGTCTGTTGACTAGTAACAATGTCTGGACAGCCAGCAATGCAGCCCTGGTCTTAGCAAGGTAAGTCTGAATTGACCATCAGTAGAGTGACCGGTCTGCTGACCAGTAACAATGTCTGGACAGCCAGCAATGCAGCCCTGGTCTTAGCAAGGTAAGTCTGAATTGACCATCAGTAGAGTGACCAGTCTACTGACCAGTAACAACGTCTGGACAGCCAGCAATGCAGCCCTGGTCTTAGCAAGGTAAGTCTGAATTGACCATCAGTAGAGTGACCGGTCTGCTGACCAGTAACAACGTCTGGACAGCCAGCAATGCAGCCCTGGTCTTAGCAAGGTAAGTCTGAATTGACCATCAGTAGAGTGATCGGTCTGCTGACCAGTAACAACGTCTGGACAGCCAGCAATGTAGCCCTGGTCTTAGCAAGGTAAGTCTGAATTGACCATCAGCAGAGTGACCGGTCTGCTGACCAGTAACAACGTCTGGACAGCCAGCAATGCAGCCCTGGTCTTAGCAAGGTAAGTCTGAATTGACCATCAGTAGAGTGACCGGTCTGTTGACCAGTAACAACGTCTGGACAGCCAGCAATGCAGCCCTGGTCTTAGCAAGGTAAGTCTGAATTGACCATCAGTAGAGTGACCGGTCTGTTGACCAGTAACAACGTCTGGACAGCCAGCAATGCAGCCCTGGTCTTAGCAAGGTAAGTCTGAATTGACCATCAGTAGAGTGACCGGTCTACTGACCAGTAACAACGTGCGGACAGCCTGTGTTTCTTATGCCATAAGGATGCGACCTTTACACGTTTAAACATTTAAACAAAAAAAATTCTAAATCAGTGTTACAAATTTCCCAAAACGTTTAAGCAAAACCAAAATTATAAAAAAAGGAACCTACATGTACCATCACGCAATCTTCCTTTGAGTTAAACACAAATGGCACAAATAATTAACAATGATTCATAAATACCTCAGACAGTTTAGCTATTCCTATTCCTATAGTTTAGCTATTCAGACAGTTTAGCTATTCCTATTGGTCGAGAGCCTGTCACGTAGCCGGTCTTAAACGGATGATAAAGACATGGCTAGCTGGTCTTAAACACTTTTCCAGTGTCACAATAAAATGTGGACTCCTAAAAATCCAGTGCCTCTTACCGTTTCATTGGTTGAACGTTCACAATCCTCACGTAGGCATGCGCAACACTACTAGCGAGTCAGAATTTTATAGTTCTAAATTCAAAACGCAACGCCCCAGGTGCGTTCTGCGCAACATCGCGCAGAACATGCTACGCGCGCGTCAATCTCCATAAAAGGGTTGTTTACATCTTACTCGCCAGCTGAACACTCCATTATTTTGCTAGAGGGATGTTTCAAAAAGCATGAAGTGAACTTGTTGAACAAAATTGGGATTTTTTGAACGAATTATTTGGGGGTTTTTTACCGAAAAGGTATTTATGAATGGGAATAAATATGTGCTCGGTCGGTATTTATCACTCTGTTTAAGACCGCTTAGAGTCTGGGTGCTGATAATTACCCTCGCCTCCGGCTCGGGTAATTATCAGCACCCAGACTCTAAGCGGTCTTAAACAGAGTGATAAAAACCTCCGGAGCACACATTTATTCCCTTATTCAAACATATTAAATTTACAAAATCTTAGAAGCACAGCAGTGCTTGATTACTTTCGGGGTTTGCGTAATTAAGTTTTTATATTTTCAATGACTGCTACCTTGTTGATTCATCGTGTCAATTACGCCGGTCTACAGACATCAATGGGCAGGCGTCAGCCTTTGTGAAGTTTAAAACGGTATTTCAAATATTTGCTAAAAGTTTACAAAATTAAACGCAAAGTCACATCCTTAATATTTCGGCCTCATGATTTATGGGACACAGATGCACTACATTTTCTGTTCACCTCAAGCACGAGTACTTAAAGATAAATTATATCTTGATGCACTGTAAAGATGTCACCCTATTAAAGCTGTAGTCATTTTAGAGTAATCAACGAAAGAAGGCCTCTCCAACGGTGCGTCTTAAGACGCACCGTAGGAAAATTTAAATTAATAGTTCGTTTTGTTATTCGGTCAAGCGCGCGCAAGCATTGGCACGACGCACACACACGCGCGGTTGCTATAATTCATCGGATAAGTGCGTGACATCGCGTAACTGCAATCGGCTCAGTGAGAACGTGTCTTGGACGCTGAATTCAGGCCCAATTCAAAACATGATTCAGCAACTTTTGATTTGAAATTGAGATCCTAGGATGCTGTTTTTCTCGGAATATACAGCTGAAGCTCAGCTGAAACTTCATCAGGTTAGTTGTTCAGTACCCTTCTTTAGATTTTGAGCACTTTGTGTCTTGGACGCTGAATTCAGGCCCAATTCAAAACATGATTCAGCAACTTTTGATTTGAAATTGAGATCCTAGGATGCTGTTTTTCTCGGAATATACAGCTGAAGCTGAGCTGAAACTTCATCAGGTTAGTTGTTCAGTACCCTTCTTTAGATTTTGAGCACTTTTGTTGCTTCAAACGAACAAAATGCCCAAATTACAAATGATGGACTATATCTTTAAACATGTGCTCAATAGGAATGGCGCGTGCATATTAGAATAGCAAGATATGTGGAGTGCGATATGGACCGTGGTACATATCGGATAATACCACACCGTTGTTGCCATAGATTGACCAATCAGGATCGAGAAAGTTTGCTTGGAAATAATAGCACTCGACTTGTATTTGATGATTCAGGTTTCCGCTTATGAAACTCTATTGATTTCACAAATGATCAATGAAGGCTATTTTTCTGTTTATTTTTCCAGGGTATCCATTGCGGAGGAGGGATGTCAGATGATGTTAGATCACAACTTCTCCCATCAGATTATGACTAAGCTGATAGACTCCCTTGGCATTGATGAAGCAGGTAAGATAATACATCCCTTCCTTCAGATGCTAATTTCATGGAACTGCCTTTTCAGCACAGAAATGTGTGACCTGTCACTACAAAATGAGCATTAAAGGGAATATACATCATTTGCTTTTGCTGTAATTTTCAGAAATGGATGGAATTGGGGGGGTTGGAAATATATAGCAAATATAGTTACACTGACTTTTTTGAGGTTTTGGGTTCGAAAATGCTATAAAAACCAAGAAAAACAATCATTTTCCTGTAGTCTGGTTCCCTGACTCCATATAAGAAGTAACAGAGCAGTTTACATACATTGGGGAATTGTAAGGTCAGGGAACCAGTCTAGCTGGCTCGTACCCGTTCATAGGTTTGTAATCGATTGCAAACAAGTGCGATGGTCAATTGGGGCCAGTATTTGAAAAAAAGCCAGAAATTGATACAAAAATACCGCTTTTCTGGAAAATGACAGTATACCAGGTGCCATGATTTTACAGGATGCTTTACACTGTCATTCACTAACAGTCCAGCAAGGTATTTCAAAATGATTTGGTAGTTTTATTTTTTGATGTTTGCAAATGTTGCATTTTCCCTTTAAGTCAGAAATTACCGATTTGCTGTACAGTGGGGCAAAACACAAAATTTGAAGGGGCGGTCAAATTTTTGTTTTCAGGTGAACCTCAATCTGTAAGCAAACAAAATGAGAAAAAAACCCTGAAATGAAATGATAAACCCCTTAATTTGAGTGATGGTGTCTTTTTTTTATTACTAGGACGAGGGATGAACGCAGCCTTTGCTTTGGGACGATTGTGTGACTTAGAAACGGGGAGAGTGAGGTTACTGCAGCATCCAGACTCAGAGAAAATGGTAAGGCCCCAGTCACACTTTCATGGTTGGAGCTACGAATATTCACAGTTTACCAAGAATCAATCGATCACGATGAACCGTCGAGATTCGTGGAGAAATCGACTTTCTAACAATGCACTACGGTTTCAGGACGAATGGCCTCGACTGTCCTGACGTTTCTCTACCAATACACTACGGTTTGTTAAGAACATGGACTGAACGTTGAAGAATTTTGACGGTATTACTAAAAATAATGATGTTAACGCCACGGTTGTCTGCGATTGGGGCACGGATGACCAAGGTTCTCCTACAAATAAAGCATGGATATTCGTAGTACAACCTTAGCAGAACCCTAGCACATCTGGGCATATCCGTAGGACATTCGTAGCGAATTCGTAGAGATTTCTACCACAAATGAGCTACGAATCTCCAAAAATATGCACAAATAGCCACGAATAACACTACGAATAGGTACGGTTGTCCTACGGATGTCTCACGGTTGTACTACGGATTAATTTTTATGACGGTTCACCACGGAAGTATGAACGGTTTAAAACTTCCGTAGCCCCTCCATGAATACCCAAGGAAGATGACGGATAACCACGAATGTACTAAGGATGAATACGGTACTCCCACGGTTATCACAAATTTCAAACCGTGAAGATCCGTTTAAAACCGGTTAGGGGCCTGGCGGCCTAGAATGGTCCGAGCCAAAGGCGAGGCTGTTCTGACAACCTAGGCCTCGAACCAGTTTTAAACATCACATTTATGACAGGTCCATACATGTAGCTTTATTATCACATTATCCATAAACACCTCCGACAGTTTATCCATTCCTATTGGTCCAGAGCCCGTCACATGGTTGGTTTTGAACCGCTGGTAAAACACCGGCTGGTTTTAAAGCACTTTATTCCTGGACCCTGCGTTCTGCACCACATTGCGCAGTACGCATGCCAATCTCCATAAAAGGAGATTTTTTAGCACTACACGCGCGAGGCACATACCATAGACATGACAAGAGGGGTGTTTAACAAAACAATGAGGTAAAATTGTCGAACAAAATCATTGGAGAATTGTTTCGACTTGTTTTACTTGTGTTAATTTGCTGTGGAATTTGCTAGAATTGACCCTGAAATTGCTGAACCCTGACCTTATAACACACATGTACATAACGATAGGCAACTGGCCTTGTGCGTGCCGCCTCCCTTTTAGTTTGATTGGCCCGATTCACCTGCACACCCTTAAAGATATAGTCCATCATTTGTAATTTGTGCATTTTGTTCGTTTGAAGCAACAAAAGTGTTCAAAATCTAATGAAGGATACTGAGCAACTAACCTGATGAAGTTTCAGCTAAGCTTCAGCTGTATATTCCGAGAAAAACAGCATTCTAGGATCTCAATTTCAAATCAAAAGTTACTGAATCATGTTTTGAATTGTTGTGAATTGCAGCTATACGCGACGTCACGCACTGATCCGACGAATTATAGCAACCGGAGGTGCGTGTGCGTCGTGCCAATGCTTGCACGCGCTTCGCCGAATAACAAAGTTTTTCAACAATAATTACGCCAGTTACTTTTCGGATGGCTGCAAATGATGGACTATAGCTTTAATGCAGCAACCTTTTTGATTGATGCATACGTACATATTTAAATTAGGTTGACCCCTATACATCATATACTGTAGGTCAAATTGACAATCAACATTTTGGAACTGGAACTATCAGATTTTTAAATGGCTGTCTACAATGATCCACCATTTTGAGTCTGTGTACATGCTAGGACTTTGCTTAAGTTGCACTCATGACTTTGATTTTCAAACTTGGCAAATTTCCACTGCCGGTGCCACGATGTCTCATTTGCTTTGTACTCTTTTTTTTTTTTAGATGAGTCGGCTGTGCAGCATGCTGGCCAGTAAAGACTCCGGATGTGGCAAGAACGCTTGCTATGCCATCAGTTGCCTAGCAACCAGCGCTCAAGGTCACGGCAGGTTGCTAGGTCACAAAAGTTCAGAGGTCATGCTACAGAGATTGGGGTCACAGCTGAGTAACGAGGATTCAGAGACAGCGTGGTTTGCAGCCATGTGAGTATCGTGCACCTTTCCTTTTTAAGATGGATCCTGTGCGTCATGGGTGAGACATTGTATGTGGTGGGTGTGTCATTGTGCTTAGGGGGTGAGTCACTGCGCCTGATGGGTGTGTCGTGTGCATCTCAGGTGTGTCACAGGTGCATCACGGGTGTCTCATGGGTGCGTCATTGAGCCTCATGGGTGCGTCATTGTGCCTCGGGGGTGCACCGTGCCATGCAGGTGTCTGTTTGTGTGTCCTGGTTGTGTCATTGTGCCTTGCTGATGCACACAATAGGGAACAAAAGATTGTATACATCTCCACAGGGCAATTTCTATAGATGAATACGTCTCCACAAGGTTTTCACGAAATAGATACATGGATTTTTACTCAAAAACTAAAAATGTCCAAGGTGGATTGATCTGTCGCAAATGGAAGAGTTTTAGAAAAGGGATATTAAGTCTGAATTTCAGCCAAGGAAATTAATTCTGGTTAAAATAAGAGCATTTTGAAACTTCACTTTCAAGCTCGAAAACTTACTACACGAGAACAAAGAAATGTCTCCACAAGGATACAAATTTCAGTATGTGTGTGAGTCATTGTGACCACAAATTTGTATTCTTGTGGAGACTCACACACAATAGGGAACAAAACATTGTAAAGGTCTCCACAGGGCAATTTCTATAGATGAATAGGTCTCCACAAGGTTTTCACGAAATAGATATATGGGTTTTACTCAAAAACTAGGAATTTCCAAGGTGGGTTGATTTGTCGCAAATGGAAGAATTTTAGAAAAGGGATATTAAGTCCAAATTTCAGCCAAGGAAACTAATTCTGGTTAAAATAAGAGCATTTTGAAACTTCAATTTCAAAATTGAACACTTTACTACACGAGAACAAAGAAATGTCTCCACAAGGATACAAATTTTAGACGGTGTGTGTATTGTGGGTGTCTTGTTGCTTGGCTGTGATGCAAGGGGGTGTGTCAACTAAGTCACATTTTGGTGTGTCAAACAGTTTAAGTTTGACACACTTTTTTATGTGCATTAGCAACAGAATTCGGTAACGAGCCCCCTGCCCAAAAATTGTTTTCTCTGTTTTCTCAAAATGTATAGTATCCCCTGGGCTGCAACTTGAAGAAGTTGGTTGTTATGCACCTTATTTAAGATTTAAGCAATTTTGTTGCTTCAGAGCGATTCTTAAGAAATTGAACGTTACTAATTTTTGGGGGAAAAATTATGCGATATAAAACAAATGATTATTGTTCACTAAAATTGCTGTTAGTACATAAAGATGCCAATTTCTTAAGAAGTTTCATAAGTTAGTCTTTCTGTGCATAAATTAGCATAATTTAATTACAAAATGTCACACACCTGACAGATCTAAATGTCACATGCATGACCACAGAACAATTCCCATTTAATAACATTATTAAAAGCAGAGGGCGTACATTGTTTACGCATTCTGTAAATCACAAAAGACTAGTCTTACTCCGAAATAAGTATGGGAATGTGTGTTCTTAGAACTTTGGAGAAAAGCATGAATTTTCGGTAGGGGCCGGATAACATTTTTACATCTGATACGTCACCCACATGACCAAACTTTGATGATGACTCCTAATATTTTGACACAATTTGTGAAAGTAGAAACTACAGGGTGAGTCAAAAAAGCGTAACCCAAATCCCAAAAATTACATTTCATATGTAAAAAAATATGTGGCACCAAACATTATAATGACTGAAAAACCAATTTCATAAGCTACTTTTAGATGAAAAAAATACTGAAATTGCTCAATCCGTTCAAAGAATATCACTTTTTAAATACAATGACCTTAAAACCTCTTTCATCCAAAAATAGGAGTCATCGTCACAATTGTCTTCAAACATCACCAGCGATAGAACCTCAGTTTAAAAGTGAAAAATATTCAACAAAGTCCTTTTGAAGGCCCGTCTTTAAAAAAAATGGATGTTATAAATCTTGTTGTATGCCTAACCAGGGTTGTTAATAAATATATTGTGTGCTACAGTTGTTGACAGTTGTTGAAACGAGTATTCTGTGTCATTTTCTTTGTTGTTCCAAACAGTCAGAATACACAATAAACTGCGGGGTTTTTTTTGGACGAAACAGGTTTTAGGGTCATTGCGTTAAAAAGGCGATATTCTTTGAACGGATTAATCAATTTCAGTAATTTTTTTCATCTAAAAGTAGCTTATGAAATTGGCTTTCCAGTCATTATTATGCTTGGTGCTACATGTTTTTTAAATATGAAATATATTTTTGGGGGTTTGGGTTCCGCTTTTTTATTCACCCTGTATACTCTGAGGTAGGGAGTGAAAAACCTGATGAATCAGTAAAAGTAATATTTCAGATAGTTAACAAGGGGTGAAGCTTCAAAAATCAGATCAGCCAGATTTTATGTCAAGCAGTGACCAAAGAATGGCCTTAAATGAAAAAAAATGCACAAAGAGCAAATGATCCTAGTACCTTCAATCTTTACTATATGTAATATCTGTTTTCATTTTGACCAGGACATTGCGGACGTTAGCAAGTAAACGAGCTGGCTGTCTGAGGCTGAGGAACCATTCACATGTTGTCCCCGCTTTGCAGGTGGGTTAACTATAGCACGTCTCTAAATCAGAGGTCAAATGTCGGAGGGGCCTTGCTAGACCAATTGAAATTTGGGGTGTGACAAGAATTTGCTGATAGCCTATCCGCTCTTGAATAGCCTGGAATGTTTTCCCGGTCACCTGGCCATCGCAAATCAAAGGGGGGCTGGGCTGGACGCCATCTGACTTTAGGGGGCGCTGTTCAAAGTGGACAATCTGGGACACTAGTGGATAATAGGTGGCACTATTTGTCACTAGTATATGCACTGAGAAAGTGTGACGCCATCTCCCCAGGTTATGCACTCTTCATCAACAACAGTTCGCGCATTTTTCACAGAACATTTTCACAAATTAGTACAACGGAACATCACTATACCGAACACCGCTATACCAATCATTCGGCTATACCGAACATCCTCCATGGCTCCCGACTTTTGTGTACAAAACTTACCAAACATTTTTGTTAACAGAAGAACGACAAGTGGCTATTATTTCCCCAAGAAATAGAAGGGGAAGCCACCGCAATGTTCATTATAGCGGCGTTCCACTGGCTTTTTAGCAGATAGTCACCGCACAAGTTACAACCACAGCTGTGCTTGTTTTCATTTCAGAGGAGAATCAAGCCAATAATGAAACAGGTTTAACACAGCCATTGCAAACCGCAGTGTTCACTAGGCCATTGCTGTGCGCATGAACCAGTAAGGTGTGGTTGCACCAATTGACCTCTGAGTGGCGTAACAACTGTGGCAGTGAATTTGCAATACACACGATTCAGCCGACAAAAGCAATTATGGGGAAATGTTTCAATCGATTGAAACATTTCCCCATAATTGCTTTTGTCGGCTGAATCGTGTGTATTGCAAATTCACTGGCACATCCCCATTCCCCCCCCCCCCCCGCCCCAAGCCTATTTTCAGCCGATGAGAGTCGCTCTCCAAGTAGTATTTGTTCAGCAAGACTGTAGAAACCGTTTTGAAAACGGGATAATTTGATAGATGATTTCATGTGAAAAGCACATAGCACCCTCAAGGGATGTTGCCAAAACCCATTAGACAAGGGTTTTTTTCTCTTAACATATTCTCATCTATTATGAACCACAGATTGTTCAGTGCAGAGGTCCGTCCCATCAAGATCTGAAGGACGAGGTCGAGCTGACATTGGAACTCCTGAAAACGTTGCACCAACCGCCGCCACCCAGGCTACAGGTCAAAGGTCACGGTGAGATCTTCGCTGAGTGGGATGAGGTCGCGCTGAAGAGCGGTCTGGAGGTTACGTACAGATTGTACAACGGTACGTGAAAATGTTAAGATCTGCTCTTTAAAGAGACTAAAGCCATGCAGGATCATTTGCAATACTCACAAAAGTACCTCCCAATTGAATACTGACAGAAACTTTACTCAAAGTGAAGATAGAACTGGTATCAAACACCCTGTGAAATTATTCCGCCTGAAATGGTATCGTTTGGATGAAAACTAGCATTGGAGGTGGTTTCACAATAGGGTGTCCGCAGACACACTTTAGTGCGTCAGCAGTGGAATCCAGTTACGATACCTAAAATGCTGTGCATTCATTTTCTTGGCTTTCTCAAGATGTACAGCCTGTCCCCCCCCCCCCAAAATGCTGCTGCTGTGTCCTTGGAATATTGAAAAAATGTTCATGATGCTTATATAATGTTAAACCTGGGATATTCAGCTTTCAAATGCTATTTTGAAATAGAGCACTCGTACTCAAGTATGAGTACGAGTACTACAACACTCGGGGGTGTCACCCTTACGTTTGCCACAGAATGGTTTTAATAAACCTGTACACTGTTGTAATAGTTTGAACCATTCTTTATTTTGCTTGTTTAATGTACAGATTCTGAGATTCTTTACGACGGCAAATCTCTCAGCCATCTTGTGACGGGACTCCGCGCCGACACGCAGTACTCCTTTCGACTTCAGCTCAGCACCGAAGGCGACGACAGCCCGTTGAGCGAAGTCGCCGTAGCGACCACCGAGGAATCCCCGCCGGACACCCCGCAGGGTTTGAGGATTCTGGCCGTGACGATATCCCAGCTCAAGCTAGGCTGGGCACCCCCGGAATTCAACAACGGCGCCCTCAAGGGATACGTGGTGTACAACGGGAAACAACCAGTGGAGACAACGACAGAGTTGAGTAGCATTGTGAGCGGTCTGACGCCCGGCACGACCTATGACCTTCATGTGAGTACCTCATAATTCAGATTAAGTGTTGTGGTTCAATGCTACTACAGTGGGGGTGAGATGGCCTAGCGGTTAAGAACACTGGACTCGTGCTCCGGTGTTTCAGAGGCAACAGTGGCGTGGGCTCGAGCCCGGGCCCGGACACTTGTGCCCTTGAGCAAGGCACTTAACCATTATTGCTTCGTCCTTCGGATGGGACGTAAAGCTGTAGGTCCAGTGTGTTGTGTTATGCACGCTATAGAACCCAGCAAACACTTATCGCTAAGAGAAGGGGTTCGCCCTGGTGTTTCTGGCAGCTATCCTCATACATACACCATGAGGCTGTACGCGATAGCCACACCAGGCGTTTGTACAGAAGCTAACAGATAACAGACACTACTAGCTCGGTTTTGCAATCGAACGGTAACAGTTTGTGTGCTGGATACATCATCAGTTCATGTGGTTTAACCGCAGGCTATATTTTCATTTAATGTTTCTGTTTCTGTGGCAGACAACTGCTGGTTGGAAACATACACCAATTTATGTTTCATTCAAAAGTGGATATCTTTTGTAATGCTACAAACATAGCATATTTAAAAAGCAAATCCATATTTCAGGGTAAATCTCGCAAAATGGCATGGGGAGAGCGACTTTAACCCAGGAAAATTTGGTAATAATTGTTGAGATCAGGAGCATCCCGTTTGTTTTCCGATTGTAGGTGTGTGCCTTCAATCACAAAGGGAAAGGACCTAAAGCCACCATCACAGCTACCACAACAGAGCTGGGTGAGTTCAATAAATTGTTTTATTTTCAAATTAACATTTCTAGACTGAAACTAGTGGGAAGGAGAAGTCCAAAGTTCCTCTGAGATGTTCTCCCTCCGTGGACAAGTATTTGTTCCTTTGTTTGGATTCTTTGTAAGAAGATGACATTGTTGGAAGTTCTATGCATGTTTCTTACAAGATAATCTTTTGTATTAAAGGCATGTAGGAACATTGGTTATTGCACATACTTTATACAGTACCATGAAATGGACCGACCGATTTAAAGGTAGAGTCTATCATTTGCAGCTATTCAAAATGTAACTGACCAAATTATTGTTGAAAAGCATCCTTGGTTTAAAGATGGTAATGGCACTAAATTCCCTGTGAAATTATTCTTTCTGGCCTGCTGTCATTTTGAAGAAAACAATAAAAGAAGGTCCTTTCCAAAGATGCGTCTAAAGACACATTTTTGGAAATTTCCGTTAGTAGTTTGTTTTTAATTTAGGTCGTGAATAGGTGTGTGCAAGCATTGACACGATGCACACGCGTGCGCGTTGCTATAATTCGTTAGTTCAGTGCGTGACATGGCGTATCTGCAATTGGCTGAATGAGAACGTGTCCTGGACGCTGATTTCAGGCACAATTCAAAACATGACTCAGCAACTTTTTGGATTGAAATCGAGATCCTAGAATATTGTTTTCTCGGAATATACATGTACAGCATTCACTGAGCTAAAAGTTTATCAAGTTTGTTGTTAATCACCCTTCTTTGAGAATAACCTTGCTCAGAGTGAAAATAGGGAATGGTACCAAATACCCTGTGAAATTATTCCACCTGAAATGGTATCGTTCAAAAGAAAACAATCATTGAAGGTGATTTTTGAAAAAAATGTGCCCGCAGGCACACTTTTTACATGCATTAGCAAAGAAGAAAATGTAGCCTCTACCTAAAACTGCAACAGGTTAGTTGTTGGGCACCCTACTTGAGTTTTTGAGCAAGTTTGTTGCTTCGTCACACACACAAAAATGCTTAAAATGTAACGGTCCTGCATACCTTTGAAGGCAGTAATAACACCGCTATAAATTCAAACAAGAATGTTCAAAACGTAACCTGTGGAAGTTTCAGCTCAGTGGATATAACATTTTTCGAGAAAACAGTGAAAACCATGTACAACCTTTTGATCACGAAACACAATTTCGTCAATAGCACTCTTTCATTCCAAAAATCAGTCAATTGACTGATTGTTGGAAATCACCTACCGTAATTTTCGGAATATAAGCCGCGGCTTATACGTTGAATTTGCCCATGAAAATGTTTACTGCGGCTTATACACAGGGCGGCTTATACGCCGAGCCTTGAAGAATAAAAATAAGATTCACATGTGTATTTAATGTACTGGTACAAGAAGAGATGTGTTGCTGAAATGAATTATAAATTAAGAAAGTCATTAACAAACCGAAACCACGTCTCACGTAAAGGTACCGAGCGGTAAAAAGTACGGGGATGAAAGTTGTCTTCGACACTTGCGACCAGCCGTACGTGATACTGGTACAGTGCAGCAGCGATATGCAGCATGCTTTCCCCCCAGCGGACCACACCATTTGTGGTAATAAAGGGGTGTTCTTTCTTGTGAACAATAATTACCAATATTTCCGCTGTTAAAAAAAGAAGAAAAAAGACGACTAAAATTGTTATGGCGTTTGAAACATTTTTTTATTACATAATCAGTTGTTCAACGTCACAATATATTTTGTTTTCTTGAAATGTATTCAAGAAACGATGTAAAACTCAAAAGAGGGACTAAATCACCCCTTACAAAATTAATGGATTCGTCTATTAAAATGTCCGCTTCGTTTTGACTATTTCCGAAGAAAGTTACGATCGAAACTTGAATTTTTATCGCAACTACTCGTTAGTAATCGCAACAATTTGATAAGTTTTGAGGTAAAAACGGACCTGTTTATTCTTAGGACAAAACAAATCAGCATCTGTTGCCACAAAGCAAGATTTGTAGCGCTCCAGTCAGACAACACACGGTGGGTTTCATACTCTCTCACCGGCGTGCGTGGCGCAGGCTGCCGGGCTATGACGGGGCAGCCGGCAGCAGTTCCCGGTGTTTATTTCTCATCAATTCCCATATTTGTTTGTAACAGTATCGATTGTAAATGGTTTGATATAACTTTTGTGGCCCTTTGAATAGCTTCTGTAGTGTAAATGGAACTGGTTCAGAGCATTTTGACTAGAATTTGGAGGCCTTACAAAATTGAATCCGCAGCGGTCGGTGCGGCTTATACGCCGGTGCGGCTTATACGCCGGTGCGGCTAATACGCCGACTTCAAATCTTAATTTGCAGATTTTTGCGTGCTGCGGCTTATACGCCGCGCGGCTTATATTCCGAAAATTACGGTACATTTCTTGATTTCTTCTAAATGACAGCAAGTCAGATGGAATAATTTCACAGGGTGTTTAGTACCAGTACGATTTTTAATCTAAGTAAGCTTTCTTCTTGTAGGCAAGCATGCTCCTGGCAAGCCAAGCCTGACCGTCCGAGGTCGTAGTGAGATCCACGTGACTTGGACGCCTCCAGAGTTCCCTCTAGGTCGACTTCATCGATTTGAGTTGACTCAGAACGGGAAGGTTATCTACTCCGGCACGGAGCTCAGCTATACAGCGCACCGCCTCACCCCAAACACAGAGTATAAATTCACTGTAAGTCATTCCCAGCATATCAATTTGGCTAGATTTCACTAATTTCTACAACATTTGTTGATATCGTTATTGAATAACACAATTTTGAAAGTGAACAAATAAATTAACTGGAACTGGTTTTGAACCTGCGACTTCTGGATTGCCGTTCCGGTGCTCTACTTACTGAGTTATCCAGTCCTAAGCTTCAACTTATTCTAATGCACGTAATGAGTTTCACTTCTGAGGTGTTTGAACAGTGTGTTATAAAGCTGTATCCTTTTGAGTGATCCCCGTTCCCCATTTGCTATTTCCCGGGTTTGCAGCATAATGATGTATCTAGTATCATGACTTTGGGCGTAATTCCTGGTTTGACATCTGACCGGTGCCCCTTGCACAAAGACATTGACAAAATGGGGAACCGCCAACATAGGGCTGGATAGCTCAGTTGGTAGAGCACTGGAACGGCAATCCGGAGGTCGCAGGTTAAAACCCTACTCCGGTTTGTTGTTTTTTTGAGTAAGATTTGAGGCTTGCATGGTGGAGATACTAAATAACGAAAGGTTTGCGGAAACACCATGTGTGAATAATTTTTCAACTAAGAGAATGGTTCTGAAAAGAACCAGAGGTATAAACTCGACGCTCCGGTCAGTATGCTCTGACCGTCTTCAGGAGAGTTTATACCTCTTATATTTCTGATTCCAAAAAGGTATCAAAATATTTCTAATTACAAATGTCGTCCAATAGAGTCTTGAAATTGGACAAGTCATTATTTACCTTTTTCTTTTTTTTTTTTCAGGTTATAGCTGTGACAAGTGAAGGGAAGTGTGAAAGTGATGCAGCGAAAAAGAAAACTCCCAAAGATGAATGTAAGTCTTCCTTAAGTCTGGGTCACAAGTGCGAAACATATTAAAATCTTCTGTGAATTTATGGTAGAACACATTTTCCACTTGGGTGAATTGTCAATGTGCTTTTGGTCTGTATCAGTAAACTATAATTGGCTGGAGCAGGGTTTGAACCTGCGTCCTCCGTAGTACTGTACTGGCGCTCTACCAACGGAGGTATCCAGCCTAATGTAGGTGGTTTCCTATTAAATTTGTCGATGTCGTTGTTCAACTTTTCAAACTGCATCAGTTTTCATAAACCGATGTCAATATTGGACAATTTACAGCCTTTGGAAGCAAACAGGGTATCAAAACAGGGTATCAACATTCCCCAAAGGTCTATTTAAACGACGTCATCTTAGAGCCGGCCTCGGGTCGACCTTGCAACGACACAGATCAGTTGGCGACTGACTTTTTAGAATCAAGCTGCGTCTGAGCTACAACCGTCGGGAACAACTCAGTCGCCGATTTTGTGCGACCTGAGTGTAACTGCGACGATATTAAAACAATCAGTTGGCGCTCAAAAAATCACCATTCGCAAGAGTAGAAAAATTCAACTTCTGCGACGTGTTCTGTGACCATCACACGATTTCTCAGTTTTGTGACCTGAGCATTATTTTTCTGCGTGATGCCGATGGTTCCGTAGTGGCGCAAGCAAATAGCGGGTAGACCTGAGGCCGGCTTTAGATGATCAGATTAAAAATGATGACCCCTCCAATGAGTGTGGACTTTCATTTTTTGCTGTGTTTAGTATTTAGTAATTTGGCTCTTGAGCAAAAAAACCAAAAAACAATCCATGGAGTAGTAAGGTTATTGATTTTTCCATTTCAATTTTTGTTTGCTTCCAGATAATGTGCAATCGACAGCTCCTATTTTCTTCTCTCATCCAGTCAGAATGACAGAGGAAACACCTGGTACGCAGAATTAACTGAACTTTAAACATTGCTTTGGGCCCCCAAAAAAGTCTCCTGTTTCTGGTATGCGCGCGTCGCCGTAGCCATGCGCGTCGGCAAAATTCAACGCAAGATGATGTCTCAAAACCGCCAAACTCACTGGTTTGACTGGAATCCTGCTGCTGCACAATTTTAACATGTTTTTAGATGGGGTTACGATCGAGTATAAGCTTTATGTGGCCTCTCTGGACTCCCATATATTTGCACTAAATTTAGTCAGGCACCATTTGCAGTCATCAGCCGACATTTGAAGAAGAAAAAACCGGTAAAAAAAAAAAGCCGCGTCGCCGCACCACTTTTGGGGCAAGCTCCATACCAGAAACCAAAGCCTTTTTTTTGGCCTTATTTAATGCTGAAACTAAAATTCTAGTTTTGTGTTAAAGGGGAGAATAGTGTGATGGAGGAGTTGTGCAAGCATGGTTTGAAACTGGTGAGGGGCCTGACTGCCAATAATGGCCCGAACCGAAGGCGAAGACTATTATCGGCGATCAGGCCCTTAGCTGGTTTCAAACATCACGTTTATAACTACTCCATTACACTGTTATTCCCATTCATAACTATCTGTTTAGTAAAAACCATAAAAATGGGATAAGTTGACAAACTTTGAACGATTTTGGTGTGCAGTTTTACTCCATGTTTGGCCCATTTCTATGGGGCGTGCGGCACACGCGGTATGCCACATTTCCTCATATGGAGATCATATCAGTTTCATCTCAAGCATCCAGGGCCGGGTTTTGGCATCCCTTGACCTGGAACATGTTTCTGACGTCACAGTCATGACGTGAAACATGTTTCCAGTGCACCGCGAAAACACCTGACGGACATTTTTTTCGTGATGTCACTTTGTAACCGATGTCAATTTTACGCGATTTGCAAGCAAAAGTCGGGCAGTTTAATACTTTTCCAGTATTTTCCCTAGGCAGAGTAATTGTTATGTATCAACTTTACCCAGCCGACTGTACAATCCCACTGTTTAAATCCCTTTTGTGGAAACAAAGTAACGTTGTTTGCTCAAACTTGTTTCCTTCATCTTGAAAAGTAAGTGAACCGATCGCAAGTCTCGGTTTAACCTTCGTCGGAACAATGATATGATTTCAGTATAACCGAAGCACCAAAATAGTCCCGAACCAGAAACATGTTTACGGTCACTGCGCCAAAACGCTGCCCTGATGTAGCTGGTATGCGCAGCGCTACTTTGCGCGCATGGGCGTAGCGAGGGGGGGGCAAGGGGGGCACTTGCCCCCCCCCCCCCCCCCCCCCGGAAAAGCAAAAAAAGAAAAGAAAAAAAAAAAGGAAGAAAAAAAAAGAAAAAGAGGCGCGAAGACAAAGTGGTGTAAATTTAATGAGTTGGGGGGGGGGCAAAATGTCCTTGCCCCCCTCTAAAACTGATAAATCGAGAATGTGTTGAGAAATACAAGCATTTTTTGGCAAAAACATTTTTTTGCCCCCCTCTAGAAAAAATCCTGGCGACGCCCATGTTTACGCGTGGAGTGCGTGGTCTGGTGACCGGTTTTAAACATCACCACTTAAAGATATAGTCCATCATTTGTAATTTGTGCATTTTGTTCGTTTGAAGCAACAAAAGTGCTCAAATTTAAAAAAGGGTACTAAACAACTAACCTGACAAACTTTCAGCTCAGCTTCAGCTGTATATTCCAAGAAAAATAGCATTCTAGGATCTCGATTTCAAATCAAAAGTTGCTGAATCATGTTTTCAATTGGGCCTGAATTCAGCGTCCCATACACGTTCTCACTGAGCCAATTGCAGTTACGCGATGTCACGCACTGATCCGACGAATTATAGCAACCGTGCACGCGTGTGCGTTGTGCAAATGCTGGCGCGCGTTTCGCCGAATAACAGAATGAACTACTACTTTGAATTTCCTACGGTGCGTCTTAAGAAGCACCATTGGAAAGGCCTTCTTTTGTTGATTTCTTCAAAATGACAGCTTGCCAGATTAATTTCACAGGGAGTTTAGTCCCCTTACTATCTTTCAACCAAAAATGTTTTTTTTACAATAATGACGCCAGTTACTTTTCGGTTAGCTGCAAATGATGGACTCTGGCTTTAAACACCAAGCAGTGTTTAAACGGCAGTTACAAACCACCCACATGAAAAATTCTCGACCAATAGGAATAGGTAAACTGTCCTAGGTGTTTATGATTAACTTGTTAATTAAACCAAGTATTTATGTATTTATTCATTTCTATCCCTGGCACAATTTGAATGAAGGTGCTGAGCACTGTTTTATTGAGTTCTTGATGTGGTTTTTTTAGGAAAAAGTAAAGACAAAAGCTCCAGGGCCCATTCAAGACATGGTCGGAAGAGGTCGGCCAAGGTACAGTGTAAATTTATGTCTATATATAGGAAATTTGTTTGCTTTTTATTTTATTCAGAATTACTATTTATGCCTTACCAAAAAAATCCCATGAGAAGATATTGGTTAACTTGCCACAGGAAAGTGCAAGTATTTTTGTGCATGTATTTGTTGTCCAATGGTCGTGGTGTTGGACTAAGGAGTGATGATACATGGGTTCAAACCTTGAACTGTTGCTTGTGTTCTTGGGTAAGACACTTTACTACAATTGCCTATCTCCATCCATTAGATTAATTGGTTACCTTTGAGGGTAGAGACCAAAATGCGCTGATCTCGAGCTGCTGCAGAAAAGTGGTCTCATGACCTGATGAACAGGGGTAATAAGTCCGTAGCATACGTCGATGAAGAGCAAAACCTAATTTGATTTACATCACCCCGACGCAAAATTCCATCTTATGAATAACTCTGTAGCACTTTGAGACTTTAATATAAAGAGCTATATGATCACCAGAATATTTTTCTTATATTCTTTTTCCGACCTTTTTAGCCCACAAATTTGTGTACATACCAGCAACTGAATTAGATCTACATGTAGGTGTGTGGTAACAGTTTGTTCGTGCATACTTACATCCAGAAGATATTTTGAAACATTTTTTTCTTTGATTTGTTGTAATGCTGCCATCAGAGGAAACAGTCATTGACTCAGTCTTATGTATTCTGGGTAAGAGCACTCATTTGTATAAAGTGGAGTTTTGTTTGCAGAAGTGGATTTTTCATTTCCATCACGTTACCACTACAGCTAATAATTCTAACAACTTTTTAGCTATTCTGGATCAATTCGGGCGATTCACAATGCAGTGCGCCACCAAGAGTTTGCCATGGAGAGTTCATTTTTCAAGATTACGGTCAACAAAACATGGCCCATTTGAATGAGTGTCAGTAGAAAACTTCAGCTAATTTGTCATAGATTGGGGCATAGCGTTCTGCCGCCTTACAAAAAACTCCATATTGATAAAAAGAAAAGAAAAGGGCAAACATTATATTCGAATCATACTTTTACAAACTTTCTGGCTGGAAAAACTAACAATTTCAAATGTCCCGCGCTGCAAATTTGTCGACCATCTCCCACAATGCACTGGGAAAAATGAACTCTCCATGGCAAACTCTTGGTGACGCACTGCATTGTGAATCGCCTGAATTAAATAGAATTGTGTGCACTCTGGAACCAGCTTTACTAGGCTTGCCTTGTGTCGTTCAAAATATTTGTTTGTACTTGTGCATCAGATCTTAGTTATTACATTGGCTCCTTTACTCTCTTTTAGAAATAATTGTTTGAATTGTTAGTTTGTACATGTAAAACATGTACATACACATTTGTTTAATGTGTAAAACAAGGATTTTCTTTTGTTCCTCTTCCCTTTTCCTTTGTTTGTACTCTAACTTTTTCGCAACAGCTCTCATTGGTTTTGTACACGTTTTCTAATCAAGGTCGTCCTCGATTTGGTTCACTGTCCTTGATTCACCGATGATGTTGCACGTGTGTGTCCTCACATACTGGAATTTGTACCCTTGTGGAGACATTCCTTTGTTCTCGTGTACTAAAGTTTTCAAGTTTGAAAGTGTAGTTTAAACATGCTCTTATTTTCACCAGAATTAATTTCCTTGGCTGAAATTTGGATTTAATATCCCTTTTCTAGAACTCTTCCATTTGCGACATATCAACACACCTTGGAAATTCCTACTTTTTGAGTAAAATCCATATATCTTTTTCGTGAAAACCTTGTGGAGACGTATTCATCTATAGAAATTGCCCTGTGGAGACGTATACAATCTTTTGTTCCCTATTGTACACATGTCTCCAGAGGGTACGGTGTATCAGATCTCGATTTACACCATAAACAAATGCATCTATTTTTGTGTGTGTTTGTAGCAGCGACATCTGAAGCAACCCATATCTCCAACCTACACTGAGCCTCCTAGTCTACGATCGTCATCTCGCCCCTCATCAGGTACAACATTTTTTTTTAACTTGCGGAAATTGCAGTCATAAGCCACGTTAACTAGAAAGATGTCTTTAACTTCATAAAGGTCCTCAGCCTACAGAACATTTCTAAACAGGGGGAAGTTGAGGGGCTCAGTACTCTTCAAGACATTAAGTTTTGACATCTTGAATTTGGTAAGGCTCCATCAGTTGTTTTTTGGTCAGGTTTCAGTGAATTTCCCACTCAATAATGTTTCATTGGCCCAATGATCAGGGGTGATAATAATGTAAAGCGCTTCGTTCTTAGAGTTAGTTCTTATTGCCTACAAACATTTTTGGAGCACTGTAACAGTGAATTTGTTTTTTATACTGTTAAATTTTTTCAGAGAAAACTTATCACCTTAAACATAAATAAAGAGACTTGGCATTGATGGATTTCCTGAAGTTTTAAGTAATTTTAGATGCTAAAATGAAGGGAATTATGTTCTCCAAATGTGATGCGATCAAGCTAAATGAGTCGGTTGTCAGGAATTTTTATTTGGAGATACAGGCCAAAATAGGGCCACTTCATCACATCACTTCATCACATCTCTTGGTGTCCCGACTTCCATAATTTTTGAACTAAAGATAGTATCACCATGCAGTTTTCACAGCAGTAATGCTGAGATTGTGCTCTCTTCAAATCTTTAATAAAAAAATGTTGATTAGGGTCGACAAACGACTCATGTAGCTTGATCGCATCACAAATGATGCATTTGTAAGGATTCAAATTAAGCATGTTCATTTGATACAAATTGAACTTGCGTATTGATTTCTGCCTGCAGGATTCAGTGATGATAGCTATCACGCCAAAACCCACTCCAGGCAAAAACAATCTGCCGGTGGTTTGGAGAAGCGGGTGAGTTATTGATTGTAAAAAATCTTTTTTAATTCCTTGAAGAATAGCCCGATCAATTAAACCCTGCCCAGTGTTTTTTTCACCAATCACAGCCCTGATTAATGTCGGAAATGTCGGAAATGCACAATGGGCTCCGTGCGCCGACGAAAGAGGACGCCCTTTTACCTAGCAACGGCGTCCCATGGGCGGGACATTTCGCTGGTTGGCGCGCACCGTTCCTTGTTTGTGACGCATGTACACCAGGGGATTTGTACCATGTACACACGCAGTGGCCGCGCTTCGCGGCAAATGAATTGCAGTCAGGCAAGATGGCGTCAGTCGGTCACCCCCAACTGTACTTTCTTTGCCGGTGAGGGGGTACTTGTGAACAGAGCGGATAGTCTGGCAACCACGGCTTGGCTTTGAAAGGTCTAATAGATAAGATATCCTTGAGGATGCAGATTAAGATTGTGCATTAGTCATTTTCTTAGTTTTACCTCAGAGAATAACTCAAAAAGTGAACCCTGTCCGTTTTCCTTTGAGGTTTATTTCTTTGACTTTATTTTGTAAAAGCAGGGAAGTAAATCCTCAACAACAATGGAGCCCCTCGCTGAATGGAGCAGCGAGAGAAGTTCAACCTCGTCCTCAGAGACTGGGGAGGATGATGATGAGGAGCGATGGCCTGGTGCTGATCACCTCAGTTACAGAACCTCAAGCACCTCACACGGTAGACATAGGAAACCTCAAGATGGCGCCTCGTCCAAGAGGGGAACCTCAGGAGGTAGTCATTCTAGAACCTCACCTGAAACAAGTAGGGGATTGGATAGGGATACCTCCAAAAGTTCCAACAAAGGCCACAGGGAGAGCATCAAGAAAACCTCAACTGAAATGGAACATGAATATGAACGATCGACCAAAACCGAGAGGTCAAATTCTGACGAGGTCAAACCTCAGGTCAGGGGTCAAGCCAAAGTGAACTCCAAAGAGTCAAACGATCATTCCAACGCAAACCAAAGATATGCCGACAGCAGCAGGGAAGCAAGCGCACAGAAACCGTCCAAGACTACAATGCAATATGTTAAGACAAAACGCCATGCCGCTGGTCACCACGGCGACCAGGAATCGGACCCAGTGGCTTTTAAGCTGGATCGACTTCTACGCAGCTTGAAAAGCACCACCACACGTAAAACGTCTCTGAATTCCCACCGAGCTGTTGGGCCGGGGAAGGACGGCTTACAACGGACACCGACAAGCGTGACGTGGGATCCGCGATTGAGTAGCAGCGTGGGCTCAAACTCACACGTCGCAAAGCGTGATTTGAAGTTAGACGGGGTGCCACCGTCGAGAGAAATCGCAACCTCCGGCAAGGAGTTTACGTTACTAGCGAACGGTCAGATCGTGTACAGGGACTCGAGATCTGGCAGTGGGACGTCCAAGAAATCATCGTCGTCTTCAGAAGCAACGACCATGACAACGGTAAAGTCGGACAAGAAACCCTCCAAAGAGAAGAGACGAACCTCAACCAAAGCGTCGCAAGGAGACACCTCATTGCAACCTCTTCACCCAGAAGGATTCACTGCAACTGAGTCACACATTCCTGATATCTTCCCCTGGGATGGAGGTGATGTGTCAAAGGTCAGCACAGCTCCTCCTGCTAGTTGGATAACTCAGACCAGGTATGGCTTAATAGTTCAATCATTCCCAAAATTGGACAGTTTTGAATTTAATTCGTCGCTACAAAGCCAGTACGGTATTTCAACCGGGCATACGCACAATGATATGGGTCATGGGTCATTCGGGATAATCGAGCGCTCATCCAAGGAGCATGAACGCGCAAGGAGAAGGGCGCACAGTGTTCATGCATTAACTACTAGCAGAATGGGCGGTCGCTTAACATCGCGTAACTTCGGTCAGGGTTTTGACCTGGACTACTTTATCAAGATACCCAACTGGCTTGTTGTGTCTTCGCAGATAGTTTACACCCCCCCCCTTTGAACCCTCAAGCCCCTCCCCCTCCTGAGCATGCGTGTGGTAGTGCATTAACTTTCACAGCTTTGCTATTCTGGCATGTTGCATGCAGTGTTGTTACAACAAACCCAAATCTTTTTTTGCTCGTTGGAGATTACTTTTGTTTACAGTAAAGGTGCTCTGTCACCACTGTTGGCAAATGTGGTCCTTTAAAAACAAATTTTGCCTTTTGTTTGTCAAAAAAGTTGAAATATTCTAATTTCTAACCATGTGTTTGCCGTGAATTAAAACAATCTTCCATGGTGTTTCTGCATCTTATTTCGTCATGCTGAGTATGGCTGATGACTGGCAGTCGGTTGGGGTTGGACCTGGGGGGGGGGAAAGGGGGCACTTTTATCCATTTTGGCATCAATATTTTATAAGTAGAAGGCTCCTTCCCTCCTTGCAAATAATGTGAATTTGAAGAGGATGTATACATATTGGTACATACTTCATATTGTGAACAGAAAAGATATGGTATCTCAGTGCATGATTTCAGATTTTTAAAAATAAATACGAGATTTTGGTGCCTAGATTAGGCCGGATACAAACTTAAAAGTGTCACGATGTACCGGAACACATTTCCAGCAAGTTTGTATTTTTGTTGCTAGAGTAACAATCATACACAATTGTAGTCAAGTCCATCACAATATTGTGCGTTCTTTTAGCAAAACGAAAACAATTCACACACATCCCTGTGTGATTTGTTTTCGTTTTGCTGAAAGAACACTGAACTTTTTTGTGATCCGTGGACAGAACCTTACAACGGTGGTTGTGTTTAAAATTCCGTAACTTGAAAAGTACCATAAGTGATTTGAATGATTCTTGTACTGAAAGAAAGCTTATGAATTGGGCTTTCATATCCTAGATTTTGAAAATGCTACATGCAGAACTTCCCTAAAACAATGGTCCCAACATTTGTTTTTGGGTTTGTTTGTTTAACTCACCCTGTAGTTTTCACCGTTTGTGAATTGCCTTGTGATTGTGAGCATTTGTGAATTGGCTTGTGGTTTACAATGTACTTGTTTACCAGGCTTGTGAATTAACTGGTGATTTACTGGTACTTATGACCAGTCTTGCAAATTGGCCTTGTGATTTACTTGTGACCAGTCTTGTGAATTGGCTTGTGATTGTGTCCATTTGTGAACATTTTGGCTTAGGATTTTCTCGTGACTTGACTTGTGGATTGGCCTGTGATTTGCTTGTGACCATTTGTGAAGTTGATGGCTTGTGATTGTGACCGTTTGTGAATTGGCTTGTGATTTACGTGTGACCGTTTGTGAATTGGCTCTTGAATTTACTTGTGACTGCTTGTAAATTGGCTTGTGATTTTCTTGTGACCGTTTGTGAATTGGCTTGTGATTTTCGTGAGACAGTTTGTGAATTGGCTTGTGATTTACATGTGACCGTTTGTAGATTTGGCTCGGGAATTCACTTGTGACTGTTTGTGAATTGGTTTGTGATTTTCTTGTGACCATTTGTGAATTGGCTTGTGAATTTACTTGTGATCGTTTGTGAATTGGCTTGTGAATTAACTTGTGATCGTTTGTGAATTGGCTTGTGATTTTCTTGTGACTGTTCGTGAATTGGCTTGTGATTTTCTTGTGACTGTTTGTGAATTGGCTTGTGATTGACGTGTGACTGTTCGTGAATTGGCTTGTGATTTTCTTGTGACCATTCGTGAATTGACTTGTCTTTTTCTTATGACCGTTTGTGAGTTGGCTTGTGATATTCTTGTGACCGTTTGTGAATTGGCTTGTGAATTACTACTTTAGTGGTGTGCTGTGCTTGCATGCTATTATCGCTTGCTAGTCTGTCATTCCTCATTGATGCTTAACCCACTCCCCATCATGTGCTTAATGCTTACTACTCCAGGACTGCCTTAGCAGATAACGCTATCCCGTTTCGTAGCGCCCTCGCTGATTATTCATCTTTCTACCAACGAGCTAACTCCATCATCAGTAGTCACAGGTACAATGGAAACTATGTATCCTTGCTTCTTAAACAGGACTTATTCACAAAATAATGGGGTTTTTTTAATCTTAAAAGGGAAGATACAACATTTGCAAACATCACAAAACGAAATTATCAAATTATCACAGAATACCTTACTGGATTGTTAGGGAATGACAGTCTAAAGCATCCTGTAAAATCGTGGCTCCTGGTGTGCTGACATTTTAAAGAAAAGTTGTATTTTTCCAACACTGGTCGGCCAACCAGCGTTGGAGAAAACTGTTTTTTTCTTTCAAAAAACTGCTTGCAAACTCTTTGCTGCAAAAACTGCAAAAACACTTTGCAATTGATTACACACTTGTGAAGGGGTACAAGCCTGCTAGACTGATTCTCTGACCTTACGATTCCCCAAAGTCTATAAATTCTCCGTTTCATCTTAAGTGGGGTCAGGGAACCAGACTACAACAACATAAATGGTTTTCTTGGCTTTTCCAGCATCTACAAGCCCAAAACGTGAAACAAGTCATTTTAACAATATTTGCTATAGCATACTAATCCTCCAAATTTATTTATTTCTGAAACTTGGAGCAAAAGCAAAAGTTGTACATTCCCTTTAAGTTTGAAAAATAAATTGTGAGGCATTCTGGAAAAATGAGACAGAACTGAGCAGAGGGCAAAATGGGGGTTTGCAGGGATTAGGAAAGAGAATAAAATTCTCCTTACATGTACAATACTGTTCGTTTCACTTCAATCAGACATTCCGTTGACAAGTTATGGCTGTTTAAAGTTCGCATAAATCAACATGTCCAAACAGCAAAATACTTTCTTTTGTTACGAATTTTGTATTTGTGAAAATGAAAGATGCCAATTGATTTCCTTAAAAGCACTTTGATTCCACGATTTTTATACTATTTCTTTAGATAATGTGTAGTAGCCATATCAAAGTTTACAAAAAAATCTGAAAATTGAGAAAAAATGACCTCCATTCGTTTTTTTTTGTTTCTTTTGAATTTTGTCATTGTTCTCCACTACGGCTTCTGCCCATTCTGTCTCATTTTGCCAGAGCGTCTCACAATTTTGTATTTTTTTTTTTTGGTGTTATAGTATTTGTGGTTCATTTCCCTTTTGGTAAGGTTGAAAAATTAAACAAAAAAGGTAAAAAGAAAAAAAAAAAAAAAGATGATTTATCAACTTAAGCCACCCTGACTCTCAAACAAACAAATACCTTTGAATACATGTACCTTGTAAAATTCTCTGCTAAAAGATCTTTGTATTTTTGGTAATGTTTCAGCTCATTTCGTTGAATGCTTTCCTTTTCTGTTTTAATGACATTACCGGTAATTAAGCAAATTAAATTGTTAGTAATTTAAATGATAAAAGTATTAAGCAATGTGTTTTTTAAATTGATCAATTGTTTATGATTGAAACGCAACACAATCTTGAATCAATTTCTACCCAATTCCAGACCCACACTTAAGAAGAATCTGGCCAAGCTCGCCAGCTACCCGGGAGCGTTCCCCATACAGCAAGGCGTCACCGCCATCCAGTACGAACCCGACTTCCCGGCCAGTAAGCCGGTAGCCACAAACAAGTACCAGTTTATCCCGACGCAGTACAGAACGCAGCCGACCAACCTGCCCGGCCAGCCGATGCACAGAGGGCCAACCAGTGCCAATTTGTACGATAAAAGTGAGTCGGTGCAATTATTGTGTTTTTTGGGGGGGCTAGGGCCAATTTCACAAAACTTGTCTTACATTTATCTTTTAGACGGGTCAAGACGTTGATACAGTTAGGTATTATTACTACACCTCATAAATATTCATGATCAAATTGGAGCGTGTCATTGGCTGATTCCATGCACGTCCGGGAAGTAAAAATGATAACCGCCCAGGTGACGTCATCCCGGTGAGTATCCAGCTCGCTGCCATGCGGTAGTTTTTTCTGGTAGCACCAAAAATTCCCTCTGGAACCTGCCTCATAGTGAAGTCTATGGCATGTAATCGTTACGAAACCAGTCTGTTGTAATCCTCTTTACTACTGCAGTAACAACACATTATACAGAGTGAGTAAAATAAAAACAAAACCCAATGTTGGGACCATTGTTTTAGTGAAGTTTTGCATGTAGCACTTTCAAAATATAGGATATAAAAGCCCAAATCATAAGCTTTCTTTTAGTACAAGAATCATTCAAATCACTTACCAAAACAAATCACATAGGGATGTGTGTGAATTGTTTCGTTTTGCTAAAAGAACGCACACCTTTTTTGTGATCCGTGGACAGAACTTTAAAACGGTGGTTGTGTTTAAACTTGAAAAGAACATAAGTGATTTGAAAGATTCTTGTACTAAAAGAAAGCTTATGAATTGGGCTTTCATGTCCTAGATTTTGAAAGTGCTACATGCAGTACTTCAATAAAACAATAGTCCCGACATTTGGGTTTCAGGGTTTTTTTTACTCACCCTGTAGAGTGTTAGCACCAGACTATATTTTGTACTGTGATGAAGAACTTGAATTGTGAGTAAAGATGCCAAACTTAGGCCGTTATTGACAAGGCAGTGAGGCTACTAAAGAGACAGTGAGGCTGCTAAATATTTATTAGGTGTTGTAAAACAAATCCAGCATGGTTTATTTCTGGAGAGTAGTTTGAATTACTGTTCCCTCGGTGTAGGTCAGCTTGACTACCTCCCGACGCGAATAGTCAAGCTGACCTACACCTCGGGACTAGTAATTCCCACTACTTTCCTTCAAACCATGCTGTATTTTAATAATGCCACCACCCGCCATAAAAGGCTGGACATGCTGCTGCCTTCTACCCCCCGCCCTTCGCCACTCCCTTAGTTAGACCACCGTATAACAGTATATTTTTAAAATCGAAAAATTGATACATTTTTAGGTGCCTATGCGAAGAAGCTTGAAGCTCTTTCCCAGCTGAGTACAGATCGTAAGGCAGGCCTGGTTTGCCATGAATGTACTCATGATCATAACGAGGGCAGGACAACGCCGAAAGCAATGGTTGCACTGAAATACTCGCATCGAAATGATCTGTAAGTATGTCTGGGATTTTCAAGGGAAATGTTGGGATTTGAATGGAATACAGACGTGTTGTAATCAAGGTACTTGTGATGGATCACAAGCCATCACAAGACCATCTAAGCACTATCGATATTTCTACTACAGCAAAATAAGTCGGATGAATAATTTCTTTCTCAAAATATTGTAGAAATTAACTTGCACATTTGATCGGTATTAACATCCACTTTATGATAATAACACCAGACAACGTGGAATTGCCCACATGTGATTTCTTTTGAATTTTTTTTTTTTCAACAGCTCGGTATCTGTAGGCGGGGCCAAGACAAAAAGTAGTCCGGTGCCAGACATAGCCAGCTGAAAGTATGCACAAATGCCCGAAGCCAGTCTCAGGAAATGTAGTTACTTGAATTAGTTTAGAGAATAATCACTGTACCATAGAGAGCTATATAGTTTTATAAAAAGGAGTTTCTAATGTTTCCAAAACTTTTCATTTTCAAAAACTTTTCAAGAGTATACGGTACATGATGGACCAGACCAATCACGTTTCACTATCGGTTGATCATTCTGTGATACTGGTCAAACGTGCCACCATTCATTATGCATTGTATCCTAAGCATAACACTGCAAAAAAAGAAAGTCCACACATGTTGGAGGGGTCCTAATATTTTGAATCATGATTGTCCTATGATAACGTCCGTTGTAGACCTTTAGGAAATGTTAGCCAGCGGCGGCAGAACTGTTTTCAAACTGGGGGGGGGGGGGATCCCCCCCCCCCCCCAAAAAAAGGGGCACTTGCTCAGTAAAAGACATCTTCCGTCGGTGCAGTACCGTATCCAGTATTTTTTTTTTTTGGCACATCCGTGCTGAAATGTCGACACGTTTTTTTCACCAGACACTTGGCCTCCGTAAAATCAAACAGTGTTGGGGGGGGGGGGGGGGGGGGGAGGGCGCGTACCATCACCCAAAATAGGGGCCCTCTTCAAAACTAGCCCTTATGCAAACTACGCATTATGTGTCCAAATTCTTCGTTCATATCAAAAGTATCTGGAAAACGGTTACTGAAAACAAATTAAAATCTCTGCTCGAGGGGACACATTTATGTCTGCAAGAGGGGCACTTGGGTATAAAATTTTTAAGGATATTATAAGTCTGCAGTGGCGTCGCCAAGGGGGGGCCAGGGGGGGCACGTGCCCCCCTGGAAAACCTAGTGCCCCCCCGAGTGCCCCCCCATCTGAGATTTGGGTTGGTAAAAAAATATATATATATTTTGTTATATTCAACTCCCATCATCTGAGTTGGTTAAATAGCAATTTCTGGAGATATCTTCAGATCGAATTTAGCATCAAATGTGGCACCATTTTGCATCTAGCCCATCCTCCGTATGCGAAAATGTTCCAAAGGGGAGGGGGGCACCCCGTCCCCTTAGACCCCTCCCCCAGGACGGCGATCCGTATCCACCTAAGTGCCCCCCATCAAATGCTGGTGCCCCCCCCCAGACTGAAAAGTCTGGTGACGCCACTGCCTACATGATCAACCAATAGCGCAAACGTATTTCATTTTTTTAAGGGCATTAAAGTCTGACATTTCCTACACGATCAACCGATAGCGCAAACGTATTTCATTTTTTTAAGGGCATTAAAGTCTGACATTTCCTACACGATCAACCGATAGCGCAAACGTATTTCATTTTTTTAAGGGCATTAAAAAGTCTGACATTTTCTACACGATCAACCGATAGCGCAAACGTATTTAAAGCACAACTTAGCGATAGCGCAATTTCACCAATTACTCCTAACAAGTACAATACCTTAACACTCACAATGTTGGAATTAAAGGAATGTACAACATTTGCTTTTGCTGCAATTTTCAGATTGGAGGATTAGGCCAAAAAAAAAGTCTCCGGTTTCTGGTATGGAGCTTGCCCAAAAAGTGGTGCGGTGTCGCGGCTTTTTTTTTTTTTACCTTTTTTTTTGCTTCAAATGTCGGCTGACGACTAAACTTAGCGCAAATATATGGGAGTCCAGAGAGGCCACATAAAGCTTGTTCTCGATCATAACCCCATCTAAAAACACGTTAAAATTGTGCAGCAGCAGGATTCCAGTCAAACCAGTGTGTTTGGCGGTTTTGAGACATCATCTTTTATTGAAAAAAAAACTTTTTCATTTTGCCGACGCGCATGGCTACGGCGACACGCGTGCATACTAGAAACCAAAGACTTTTTTTTTTGCCTAAGTATGTTATAGCAAATATTTTTACATTGACTTGTTGCACGTTTTGGGTTCGTAGATGCTGGGAAACCAAGAAAACCAATCATGTACTTGTAGTCTAGTTCCCTGACGCCACTTAAGATGAACCGGAGCAATTTTAGACTTCGGGGAATTGTAAGATCATGAAAATCAGTCTAACAGGCTTGTAGTCTTCACAGTTGTGTAATCGGTTGCAAAGAATGGTAATGCAGTCAAACTAAATATGAAAAATTAGGAGCACGTTTTGAAGAAAAAAAGCCAGTTTTTCTCGTCAGAAAATGTCAGCACACCAGGAGCCGCAACTTTAAAGGATGCTTTAGGCTGTCATTCCCTAACAATCCAGTGAGACATTTCGTGATAATTTGATCATTTCGTTTTTTGATGTTTGCAAATGTTGTATCTTCCCTTTAATTAATTTAATCTGCAATTTGTTCTGAAATACAGGAAAACAAAAGCAGCTGCTTTTTAACACTTTAGAGTGGGGGCTCTCACTACCAGCTTTAAAAAAAATATTTAATTTAAACTTTCAGTTCAGTGTCTTGTTTCTTCAGCTAGTCATTGAGAATTAAAATGTAAAATTCCCTCTTATTTCCCAAAAGATCAGACAAATCTATTATTCAAATAAATTGATGACATAATTAATGTATAGAATTTATAAAAATTTTGTATAAATCTTTACACCATTTGTATATTTTGAAAATTGTATGAATAATAATGCGAACAAAATAATTGAAGAGAAACAATATTTTCCAATAAATTTCTTCCCTTTTTTTTTAGCAGACTGGAAGGTCTTGTCTTGAAGATGATGTCATCATGATGTCATCCATGACTCATTCCGTCCTGGTTGGCTATGGTACTAACTAATTCAATTCTGATGTCACTCTGATGTCATCATGATGTCATCATGATGTCATGCATCCCAAGGCAAATGTCACGAAACGCTAGAATTTTTTTTGTGTCTTAACTTACAACGGGTAACCCATCGTAACTTATGATAGATGGTATACACCATTTCAAGAAACTTACGATGGATTTAACTCAGCGCAACTTTCATGGTTACTCATCGTATGTTACGATGAGTATGCTATGTCATCATAAATGTACGAAGTGTTGTTTTGGAGCTGCCTTTTAGGCATTCCAGTCAAAAAATAAGATTAAAATCTTTAAAATTAGGTATATGAATTGACAGCCTCGACTCCAGGGGCGCGTACTCGTTCCTTACACTAACCCCTGGCTGTGATGATGACGTAAATGACGCTGAATGGCTATTCACAGCGCACTGCGCGGGCATTTCGAAGATTGCATGCCGGGTGCGCCCATAATGCGCTCGCGCTCGCATGCTTAGCTTTACACGTAACATCACGTACGAAAAAAAAAATTATGATTCATAAGTCGTGATGCCTGTATGACATGTATGATATGGATTATGTCAGCCGCATTTTTCGCTAAAAAAACCTGTATCTGTGGTTGTAAAGGTTGTAAAGGCACAAAAGGGGTATATGTACATTTAATACAAATCTTTGCTAATTAACACAACGTCCAAACGTTGTGTTTGAAAGGATTGATACTTCAAAATCACAACTTTTAACATTTTAAAGATGGCGTCGGCACGTAAAATGGATAAACTGCAGCCCTAATTATAATGTACCGTATTTTGGTACATTTAAATTACACAATTCCAGGGGTTACGATCGCGCAAGGCATGATGGGAAACAACATGGCGCTGCAAGATCGTACCCACGGGGCACGAGGTTGATGAATTCATAACCTAAAGATTCATAAAGGAAAACAACTTCAAATTACCAACTTAACCCAAACTCCTGATCATCCGTGATCAATTCAATCCTCCTGATGGTCTATGTTATGAGTACGATTCTTCCCCTGGCTGATGTCGTACTGACAATGTCATCGTGATGTCATCCATGATGTCATCCATGATGTCATCGTGATGTCATCCATGATTCATTTAATGATTCTGGATGTGTATCATTGTCTATGGTATGAGTACAACTCTTCCATGTCTGTGGTCACACTGGTGATGTCATCATGATGTCATCGTGTTCCGTTCAATTTGTCCTGGTTGTCAATTATATCACAAACATTCTTCCCATGGCTGATGTCATTGTGACGTCATATATTTGTATGGATATTTTATAATTTTTTTTACTGATTGCACATGGGTGAGCATATGTCATGTAAATTTTTTTTACATGACTAATAACAAAAATCATGAATTTTGAATCTTGATTTCACCCATGATCCACGCAATCATTCTGATGGTCTATGGTACGAGTAGAATTCTTCCCATGGCTGATGTCACACTGATGATGTCAGTGTGATGTCATCATGATGTCATCCATGAACTGTTCCATGATCCTGGTTGTCTATGGTACGAGCACAATTCTTCCCAAGGCTGATGTTGTCTTGATGATGTCTTCATGGGCCACAGCAGCATCTTTAAGAGGATACTCCTTGCCAACAAAGGGCTTGAGCCATCCGCTCTCCATACCGGCCTGCATTGCTGCATTGGTTTCCCTTTTATCGGCCTAAAAAAAAAAAGGATAATAAATACGCAAATGTATCTAATGTCACTTTCCCTTGTAGTTATGTTAGGCCCAAAAAAAATATATTTGGTCTCTGGTCAGACCAAAGTTCCGGAATTGACGCGGCAACGCGGCTTTTTTTTTTTTTTTTTTTTGCTTTTTTTTTTTTCTTCAAGCTTGGATTGTACAGACAAGGTGGGGTACTATTTTGCTTTTTTGGTGTCCTCATGTACATTGGTGTCCTCCATAATTTACCTTGGGGCTCTCGATCATTTGCCTTGGTGCAAATTCCCATTCCTTGGTGCTCTTTGGTAAAAAAAATTGAGGAGGTGCGGCAATAGAGGGCGTTGTTGGAGCTACCTCGGAACATTTTGGAAAAAAACAGATTGACACGCATGATTAAAATCGACGCGCGCGCTGACCAGAGACCGACTTTTTTATTTTTGGCCTTATGCCCATAGAGCTATATTAAATTACTAAAGCGCTGACTCGTGTACAAAGTGATGCCTGCTGGTTGTGCACAAACCTATGGAAAACTCGAAATTTTGTACGGCTTTTATACGGCTATTTGCATATCTGCGTTTGTATTCTACATAAGTGCGTTATCGAAACCGAAACGCCCAACATCTAAACGCACAATCAGAAAGTGAGCGTTTCATATTGTTATACGCAAACAGCGCAACGCGCGTGCAGATGATTACCATGACGTTTTCTTTAAACCATCGTGGTGCGCTGAAGTTGTTTGCGTACGTTCTACTTGTGCGTTGCATTTATAGAGTACACTTTCAAAATTCAATCCATCTAATTTCATTATGTTCTACAAACACGCACATGAATTCAAAATGTCTGCGCCCGGAGCGTCTCCGCGCACAAGAATGAGGAGTTAGTGCTCAAGTAATTTAATATAGCTCTATGGTAATGCCTAACCTACATGTACGTGTACATGTTGACCCCAAAAAATGCAACCATGAAACATTTGCCTTTTTTAGAAAAATGTTATCAGTGAATTTCTCTGTTTTGGATAGCAGATTAAAGCTGATGAGTTTGTTCTTTCAAATACATGTACTGAAAAAAATTTCATACATTAAACTAACCTCTGTTATAATTGCCCCCATAACACCAACAATTGAAGACTCTTTGCCCATAGTCAGTCGAGGGTTGATCTCGATGTTCCCGCGATTTCCGACAACCTGGAAAAAAAGAATTGTACTACATGTGATTATTTTTGCTTAAAGTTTTCAATGATTTCGTGACATCAAATTTGGTGATTGATCGTTGTAATTGGACGTTCTAGCAGAGATGGGCTGCGTTGATAAAACACCGGCTGGCTGGTCTTATACCCTTTCCAGTGGCACATGAAAATTTGACTCTATGAAATTAGGTCCCTTTTACCCGTTTATTGCTTGACCATGCACAATCCCAACTTTGGCATGCGCAATACTACCCATAGTCCTAAATTCACACTACACTGGCACAGCTGCATTCTGTGCATGCCGATCTCCATATAAGGAGTTGTTTACGACTTCCCGCGAGAGGCAGATACCATAACATGTCTAAAGGGGTGTTTCAAAAACATAAAGTCAAAGTTCTGAACAAATTTGTTGGAAAGCTATAATTTTTGATTTGTTTTGACACTGTGACCGAAAATGTTTTTAAGAATGGGAATAAATATGTACTCATAAAATTATCTGAAAACACACAGCGCTCCGGGAGGGGGCATGCGATACTTACTGCAACCGTTCCTCTGGGTGCTAGGATTTCCAGATCTCGCTGCAAGTTGACGTTAGCAAGCATCTCAATCACTACGTCAACACCTCGCCCACCTGTTGCTTCCTGAAAATCGCACCCAAAAATGGATTTTATTTCTCTAAAATGATACTTTACAATACTAAAAGGATTGTCGGGTCTTGAACAACTTGTATGTTAAGCCGTCTATTCAGGGTTCGACCTTAACTTTTTTTTTCACTAGCCAGCCGGGCTACTGAAACGGACTCTTAACTAGCCCGCGGGCATTTTCACTAGCCCGCATGTTTTTTTCTTTTATAGAGTGTCTCGTAAACAACAATGTGCATACATGTAAAACGTGTATCCTGGGGCAATCTTGTCAGTGTTTTTAATAAACAGATCTAATACTTTAACCCCAAACAGTTAATAAAATTAGACACACATTAGATACAGGTTTGCTTTCTGAATTTAATGATTTATTTCTTCCTGTCCTTTCATCTTTGCCGTGGCCCAATAATTTTGACTCGCCAGCCGGGCCACTTAAGGAATAGTTTGACTGGTCAGTCAACCCCAGCTATTACACTGTAACTTTGAAGAAAGATTTTTATTTTAAAAATCAAATGGAACGTTCCATAGATCACCGAGGAAGGCTAGTTTTACTACACCACAAGTTAAAGCAGTCAATTTTTGTTTTATAACACCTCACCCACAGATTCCGCTTGATTTTAAGAAATAACTGATTAAATAATAAAAATGTACCTCTACTTCAACATGAAATTAGTTCAAAAATTTACTTGCACTTGTCTTAACTACCCCTTCATGAAATGTTTTAACCCAACTCTGTAGCATGTGGAAACAATACGTGCAACACCCATGCTTGTATGCATGTCAACGCAGGCCCAGTTGCTACTACAGATGTTGGATAGTCTTTGTTGTCGTCGTATAGTCTTGTTGGCCATGCAAGGCAAAATAGTTAAAATAGAAAAAATGATCATGTGACTCGCTCTCGACCAATCAAGAGAATCTTCAAGTGAGGTGTTATAATCTGTGTTGTCAAGTTTACCGTAATCTTTTCTATGTATCCCTCCTGTCTGTGGTTAAAGACGTGATGGGCACCGATCTGACTAACAAGGCTCATGCCCTGCTCAGATCCGGCTGTACCCAAGACCGTCATACCATAGGCCCGAGCAAACTGGACTGACGCGATGCCGACCTGTATGCAGAGGGGAGTAAAAGGCGAAATGATGAAAACATCTCCAGTTCATTAATAAGGGAATAAATGTGTGCTAGGGAGGTGTTAAACACTATGTTAAAGACTCCTGGTTGGAGTCTGGAATGCTGATAATTATCAGAGGCAAAGCCGAGGGTTATTATCAGCATTCCAGACTCCAACCATGATGTTTTGAATTGGGCCTGATGAATTCAGCATCCGAGACACGTTCTCACTGAGCCGATTGCAGCTAAGCAATGTCACACACTGATCTGATGAATTATAGAGGGCGCGCACCCATGTGCGTTGTATCAACGCTTGCGCGCACTTCGCTGAAAATAACTGAACTACTGACAGAAATTTCCAACTTTGACAGCATGCCAGAGAGAATAATTTCACAGAGAATAGTCCCCTTACTATCTTTAAACCAAGTATGTTTTTCAACAATAATTACGAGAGTTACTTTCTGGATAGCTGCAAATGATGGACTGCAGCTTTAAGACTTTGTGCACAAACGGTAGATGCAGTTTCGTGTCTACTTGAAAAAACCCACTGTGAGAGAAACACACCACGTGTCACACTGGTTCATATATCGTGCGAAGTACACATGACTTATTTTTATGGTCTGATTATGCTTAACACCGTAGCATGTTCAATGAGCATCAATGTATTTGATTATTATTTATATCCAGCTTCCAACGGTAAAAATAAATCAGCGTATTGTATGCTTTCATAAAAAGTTCCCGGATGACTACAATAATAAAGTACCAGGTTGACTGCAATAACATTATTATTGCAGTCATCCGGGCATTTTCGCTGGTTCGCGCTTGATCAAGAGCATAGAAAGTCACAGTTGTCAACCACTCAACAGAGCGTAGCGCGCGCGTACGGTCAAACATGGAACATGCCGCACGCATGCAGCGCGCAGAAGGCCAGGTATACACGCACTGTTGTCAACAATTACAGTGGCAGCTTCAAAAAGTTTGATGTAAACGAAAAAGATGTAATGAAGACAGTGTCTTGAATTGTGCTTCTTGCGGATCAAGTCAGCCTGATATAAATAATAATAATAATAATATTGGATGGCTTGTTTTCGGTGGATACAAGAATATATTGCACTCGCTATGACAATATTGCACTCGTCTTCGACTCGTGCAATATTGTCATAGCTCGTGCAATATATTCTTGTATCCACCTCAAAGCCATCCAATATTGTAAAAATGTCCCTCCCAGATGTCTCCCCCAACTCTCCCCTTGTAACCGTTGAGGGGGTACTTGTGCGCGGAATCCACTGCTTGTACTTACCGTCCCGCTTGCACCGTGAACTAGCACCGTCATGCCAGCCCTGGCCCGGGCGCGGTGCACGAGTGCTCTATAAGCGGTGAAGTAAGGTATACCTAACGCCGCACCTTGTTTGAAATCCAGCCCGTCGTGCAGACCAAAGACGCAAGACGAATCGGCCACAGCGTACTCGGCATACGAGCCAGTTAACGTTCCCTTGGTGAACACTCGATCCCCAGCCTGTTGACAATGGAATAATTTCATAGTGAGTTGCAAAGGAATCAAAGTTCTACTTTTGTTACTAGGGCTGTTCATTTCCGAATAATTTAGTGTTCGATTACACGCAATTGCGTTGGACCGAATATTTGGATATTCGAAACTGCCAGCTGCAACTGCGTGTTGCGCCGGTAAAAAGTTCCACGAAGAGTGTGCCATTTAATTCGGCATGGCGATAGCAGGCGTTTAAAACTACTTGGCTCGGCGAATTGAGTTCGGCATGGCACCATCCTTAGGCTGACAGGGCTGCCACTTTGTCGTCTTTCTGAACGGCACTGTTCCAAACGGCGCGCCATTGTCATGCCAACTGCCGAACTGAATTCAATTCGAAATTGGAGCAAACATTTTAGGAATGCGCATGCTCACAATAGCCTCTCTTGCGTCCGCATCATGGGGAGTGAAATAACCCCTCTGTACTACTGACGTCACACTTTTTTTACGTGTGTGCTTTCCTATGGTGCTCAGTGGACCGTGGGCCCCCACTGGCTCCATAGGAAAGTGCACATGTAAACAAAGTGTGACGCCATCAGTACAGAGGCTTATTGGCGCAAATATTTTGACCGCGTTGAAAGTTCATTGAACTGCTTTAACCTGGCCAGTTACTCCAGATGCATTAAAGTCAGACGATGAAGTTCGGCGTTTAGAGCAACTGCCGTGCTGTGGACGCGCTATTGCCACACACATTTCTAATAGCTCGGCGTGGCGGTAGCACGGCGTCTAGAATGAGCCTTAGGCAGCTTACTTGTGCACATTCAGTTTGTTGCTGTCAATATTTGGACAAGTTAATGTTGGTGACCAGGCCCTGACCTTAATGTCGGTGACCCCTGACCCCACTTCCTGTACGATTCCAGCGCTATCGTTCCCAGGAGTCCATGGCAGGCCAGGCAGCTTGGCGTAGGCACCAGCGCGGAGGTAAGTCTCGACGGGATTCACTCCAGCGGCTCCAATCTTAATCAGTACCTGTAGATTCATAGTAATTCTAGACATTGTTCGTTGTCTATATGCCGCAACTCAACATCGTCCCAACTGAAGTTGGCATTGTCTTTGAGTTATGACTTCCTCAACTATATCTGGGACTGTAGTATAGGGGCCATTGGTATAGTTGGAGTGTAATGCTAATAGTCAAGCTCATCATAAGTCCATCATAAAGTCCTCACATGTCCTCACAAGTCTACCACAAGTCCTCATAATATGTCCTCACAAGTCAATCACAAGTCATCACAAGTCCCAAGTCCAGTCACAAGCTACTCAAATGTACTCTGATCAAAGCATTCCTTTATGTATATCACTGTGACCAGGCATGTGACGGGCTTGTGATTGGCCAGAAAACACTGGCAGACTGGGTATTATAAACTGGACAGTGTCAGTATCTAGTATTGCTACTTCTAGAATTTATCTGCATTCTGTTATTTTTTTGGTGTTCCTGTCAAATTCCTGTCAAACAATAAGCCAGCCTTTTCACCATTTCAACGCGCATACACACGTACATCATGATTCATGTTTTAGTTTTATTATATTCCACAGTTCGCCACACGTGTGCAAATTGAATCTCAGTAGGGTACGGGTAGCAACAAAAAATTTACAAAATCAAACTTCAAGTTCACTGAAGTTCAAAGTGAAGTTCTTGTTTTGAAGTAAATTATGCAAAAATGTTGACATTTTTGTATGATTGACACCTCACCATTTTCTCTATAAATTTAGATTTTGTGTTTTCTTTCAAACATTCGATCAAATGCAAAATCTCGATAAATCTGTAGGACTCACCTGCCCAGCAGACGGTTTCGGAATGGGCAAATCTGACTGAAGTTTGAGAACTTCCGGACCACCGAATTGATTGACACGTATCGCCTTCATGATGGAACGAAATACACCTGCTACTTTATTAGACATGAATTAACACTTGAAGCATGTGTTTTCGTTTGGCGATCAGCGCATTGAACAAACTGAGAACCAAAGAAACAAGCAGCAATGCGAGTTCAGAATTTCACAAAACCGAGCAGGTAAACAAACTTAACCATCAGTTGCCTCTTGAGGGCGGGCTATGCAGGGGGCGTGTCCACAGTCTGTGGGCGTGTCATGTTGGGAGTTGTGTCGCAGAAAACCAAAGTTGACTACTCGATCAGATCTTGATTGAATTACTTGTCCCCCTCAACTATTTAAACCCCAAAATTATATTTCATATTTAGACAAATATGCATCCCAAACATAATAATAACTGGAAAGCCAATTCCATAAGCCACGTACTTTCGGAAAAACAGTAATGAAATTGGTCAATCCGTTCAAAGCATATCACCATTTAAACACAATGACCCTAAAACATATCTTTCGAGAAAAAAAAATGCGATTTCAAGAATCGTCGTCCCAATCGTCTTTAAACATCAACAGCGATGAAACTTAAGTTAAAAGTTAAAAAATATTCAACAAAGTCCTTTTAAAGGCCAATCTTTTAAAAATTATTAATCATATATTTGCCTAACTACTGTTGTTGACAGTTGTTAAAACAAGTTTTCTGTATCATTTTCTTTGTTGTTCCAAAAAGAGTCAGATCAGAATACACAATAAACTGCTTTTTTGGAAAAAACAGATTTCATTACGTTTAAAATGGTGATATTCTGAGAACGGATTGAGCAATTTCAGCAATTTTTTATCTAAATTAAAGTAGCTCAAATTGGCCTTCCAGTCATATGTTAATTTGGTGCTACATATATATATATATTTAAATATGAAATATATTTAGGGGGTTTGGGCTCCGCTTTTTTTTTACTCATTCTGTATAAAGGTACCTTTGTTTCAGCCATTAGCCCTCGAATTTGAGCCAGCGAAAACACAAGACCCAAGAATTCAAGACCCAAGTACAGTTTGCAAGTGGAGTCGTTTGATGGATTGTTCAGAGTAAGTCAGACTTGAATGTTTATCTGTGCCCTGCTCTCTCTCCCAATGTGTGTGCAAAACCACTCTGGACACGCTATAATGTCATGGCAGGCAAATTTCAAATGAGTTTTTAAAACAATAGTCTTTCAAAACAGTTGACTGCATTTATACTTTGAAATATGTAGGAGCAAAAGACAACATCATCGTCAGAAATTGTGCTCACAAAAGGTTTTTGTGTTGAATTTAAAAATGGATCAAAAGCGCGGAGAAGTTCCTGGAGTTTTGAGAACATACATGTACATCAAAAATATCACCACAGAGTTGTCATTATTTTAAACAGAGAATTCTGATTCACAAGTATTGTAATCAAATTAAGTTCTTGGATTTGGTTGTTGTATTTAATTACTTTTGTATTTCTGGAGGTAAACCCGGGCTAACAACACGAAGGCCAGAAGTAGAGGGTACCAGAGTCTAGAGAAAAACTTCACCTCATTAAAACCGAGCAGTGTAAACATTGTTAGTGGTAAGTATATAAGAACAACAAACTTCTTTTTAACTTTGCTCTTTTATTTGTCCATTTTGAAAACTTGAAATTCAAATCCAATGAAGTACCACCAAAATAAGATCTTCCAAAACAGATTTCAGCAAGAGGGAATAACTGCTTAAAAAAGCTTGTTTAAATCATTTTGAAACAATTGCATTTCTACACTGGATTGAGTGTTTTGCCAAAAAAAAAAAAAAATCCAAATCCAAAGTTGTACCACCAAATATCAGATCCTCCCAAACATATTTCAGCAAGTGGGGAATAACTGTTTAAAAGTTGTTTAATTCATTTTGAAACAATTGCATTTCTACACTGGATGGAGTGTTTAGCAAAAACAAAAACCAGGAAACAGCAAAAATCTCGTGCGTTTAGTCCACTAAATAAGGCCTCAAGTTTCCATCAATTATAGTCTTTCAAATAAATCTATAGGCCTAGATAGAAAACAGTTGATATAATATTAATAATGTCAAAAGAGCTTGGTGTACTTGATAAAAAAGTTATTTAGTCATTAATAAATGCACCCTTTGCTTCCTTTTCTCTGGATCTGTTAAAGACGTCTTCTAGCAGGAACGTCTTGAAGGACATTGGCCAAGAATGAGATACGCACTTCATGAGGCTACTCCATGAGGCTTTTCTCCAAACTATGATGTCCAGTTTTAGAACATTTTCATTTCAATTTATTTTTCCTTTGGTCTCTCAAGTTTGAAATAAAATTCTCCTTTAAAAATAGCGACCACATTCGAAATCAGTGGAAAAAAAAATTAACTTTCTCCTCATTAAATTTGATTATCTTTGCCCAAGTATTCGTACTGATGGGTATATTGCTTTTTTCTTGCGTGTCAAAAAGGCATTTCTGGAGCGTTTCCGAAAATGTAATTTTTTTTGACCAAACATCGTCAACAAGTGTAAGGGAATAAACCCCTTACCATTTCCCCCCAATTTTGGCTGGAAAAGTAAATTGCTCTAAAGTTGCAGGAGAGATGCCCAATTTGTTTGGAGCGAATTTAGTTGCAATTTTTATGAAATTTGGTCAAAAATCGCTTTTTCGTTATAACGACCTTGGATCACCTGTTGATGCAAGATAAACATAATTTTCTACTCCACTCAGCCACGCGGTTGCGAAGGCCTAAGCGTCGCCGTTGTTAAACAAAGTTAATCCGATAACGTACTTGGACGCTATATATAACAGAGCAGTGAAATTCCAAACGTGAGACATTGATTTTCAAAGATTTCGCCAGCGAATTTCCATATATGTATATGTCTGTGTGCATGTTGTTGCATTTGAAATAAGTATTACGTAACCTTTAGAAATCAACCTTCGCAACCACATGGCTGCACTAGCGTTTTTAAATAGGAGATTCTTTCCCAAAAAAATACGGTTAAAAAAACATGTTTAGTTTGTACTGATTTTCATTAGCCCTATTTTGAATAACAAGTTTACTCCGTGAAGGGTTACTTAATTGTATTGAAAAAATTGAATGAAAATGGCGTTCAGTTTACTTGATTAATGGTGTCAGAAGTTCAGTTATACAAGTACAGTGTAGTGGTAACATTTATTTCAATGATGACATTCATTACAATTATGTACAATGCATGTATAAATTAGAAAACGTCAGTAGTATAATTATTTGATAGTTATGTACGTAATGATTGAAGGGAACATGTAATATGATTTGTATGACAGATACATTTTAAACAGCTTTATTGCCATGTGACTATGACTTTTCACCTCCTTTGTAGCAGTAAAAGGGAGAAATTTCAACGTTTTACTTTTTATGCTAATGAACATTTTCATATTCATGAGCCAAAGCCGTTATTCAAGGCAAAACAGGAGTGTCTCTATAGCTTTGTGTACAAATATAATGTCAAACGTTTCCTCATTTTCTTGGAGTATAACGGTTCCCCTTTTACTTGTTAATAATGTTAAACAGCTTGTTTAGACAATGGTAGTGTCCAATATTTCTTCAAACCTTTTTGTGGGTTATTTAGAAGGACTGCATGATTGTGTACTGTTCGTATGCACTTTTGACAAGGAGTACCTTGTGTGACAAAAGCAAAATAGCACCCTCTTACATGTATTGATGAAAGGATTTGGTAATAATTGAAAAACTACCGCTATATTCTTGTCACTTCCAATGAAAACAAGTATTAAGATCTTGTGTGTATTGTTGCTACTGCATTTTTTCTTTAATAATAAAGTGTGAAATTAAATGACAATATTTAGGTGTAAGGTTAAGCAGACGCTTTTGTGCCCTTACCAATGGCATACAACCAAAGTACTGTAATAAGGGACAAACTAAACACTGCGTGGGACAGACAGGACAAGTGTGAGACAAGGCCTAAATATTAAAGCACAAAATAATAACATTTCAATTTATGAATATAATTCGCGAAAATGAGTTTTTAACAAAGACAGATAGTGAGGGTTATGATTTAAGAGAATCATCTAAAATATTCCAGTACAAAGTGCCTGAATGAATAACACTGTTTTTTGACATTGACGTTCTGTTAATATTGGACGAACAAATTTCCCCTAGCACTACTTTACTTTGAGTGTTATATACATGAATGTAGATGCTGTAGGTAAAACAAGAATTAAAACAGGATGGGAGTAGATTATGCATACATTTATATAGACATTTTCCTAAATTAAGGTTATTGTATTGTAATATATTTAGTTTAGCAAATAATGGAGCAGAATTTTCACGAAAAGAGGGCGCGCTAAACAAATACTGGTCACCACCTGTATAGACTTCTGTAAACGTGGATCACGATCTGCCCAAACGAAGTCGGCGTTAAGTGAACAAAAATAAAACACACTTTGTGGAGACAATAAGTAGAGCTAGTAAGTTGTTACACTTAAATGGCAAACCACCCTAGGTAAAGATTGAGTAACTAAAGTATGGTAAAACAAATGAATTATACATTGTATGTAATAAAAAACTACTACACGTACTTTGTACAGTTTAAATCTATATGCCATTGTTCTATGAGAACTTTGTAATTAGCGATATATTGATTAACAGCTGCTGAACTGAGCGTTTGATGTTGAGAAACAATTACTGGAATAAATAAATTGAACTGAGCCCATTTTTGGTGTTTTTTTTTATGGGGGTGGGTAATGATACACGCATCAGTCGAAGAATGGAATCTGTGGGTAATATGACAAATATGATACAAAAATTAAAGATCCAGGGGTGGTTGGGTGGAAAGAGTTGGGAACAAGGCAATAACCCTGGGAAAAGGTTGATATTCCTGGGAACGAGATTGGTGCCCCCTGAATGAGGTCGATAGTACTGAGAACGAGGTCGATGCCCCTGGGAATGAGGTCGATGCCCCTGGGAATGAGGTTGATAGCCCAAGAGGTACAAACCTTTACGGGCGACCGTTACTGATCGCCCCTAGAGGCACATACGACAAAAATGCGCGATTGATGCTTCTCTTTACTGCCAAAGGAATTTCTGCATTGTTATCAGAAAAGTAAAGTTTTAACCAAATTTGATTAAAAATTTAAGGCTAACCCCTTGCATATTTCTCAATTTGGCAAAAAAATGAAATTGCTTTAAAGGGACCCCTGAACACATTCTCTTGCGATTTGTGGGCAGGTGCTTTTGTA